TGTTTATTAATATTTTTTCTAATATTAGTATGAGCATAATGACATCTATTTTATTATCGTCGGGTAAAGGCAGGCTCTAACTTATTTTTTTTAGACCCTTAGAGCTGAAAAGAATTCCAACAGAATTATCTCTTGAACTTAGAAGAATCAAGCGCTCAGTTAATTTAGATTTTTTCAAGATATTATCCGAATCATACGACAAAACCCCCATGACCGAAGTACTGTGCAGTAGTCACAATACAGTACCATGGACCGATGAACTTCCCTTCGACTGTCTCTGCCAACAAGTTCCGAGCTTATTTGAATACGAAATGAGCAAAGTACTATCAGAACCCCAAGCTCATTTAAATACAGCAGTAGTCACAATACAGTACCATGGACCGATGAACTTCCCTTCGACTGTCTCTGCCAACAAGTTCCGAGCTTATTTGAATACGAAATGAGCAAAGTACTATCAGAACCCCAAGCTCATTTAAATACGAAATACAGTCAAACCCCGTTACGACGCCCCCGATAAGCCTCCAGTTTATTTTTTAAAGCAAACATTTTTTTTCAATTCCAACACTGGAAACCCCGTTGAAAGCTATCTGAAAAAATTATTTACAATTCGAATCGGCTCCTGCAAATTAATTTTGTCTTTGGATACCCCGCCAACAAGGTTCAAGTTTCTGCGAGAGGTCTCAAATGAAGAAACACCAACACAAAGACGACAGACTTTAATTCCTGGGAACATTATCTTGATATAATTTATGCATCTCAGGGCTATTTTGATTGTTTTCTTGAACAATAATAGAGTACAAAAAAGGTGTAATAAAATCAACCAAACTATTTGGTGAATAGAGAAGTGTGGCGGTTGTTTTTGTCTGTCCTTGGAGTGTGTTTATTACTGCTTAATAACTCCAATCTGAGTAGTTTCTTATAAGTTCTCAATTCCATCCCTTATTCAACAGAAATAAAATCAAACATTACCTCTGAACCCTGAAAAGTTCAAAATCAAGATTCATTTTGATTCTTGCAATCCAAAAACTCACTGATCAGAGCCTCAAGAAATTAAACTGTAATCCTTCCAATTTTGATGGATTTGGCTATATAATTAAGGTATGTTCCACCATAAGGCAGAAGGAAAATATGTACGACTTTGGGAAATAATTATGAATTTTACACAAAGATTCAAAAATGGATTAAAAGCACAAATTGCTTAAGAAACTCTGGCTAAAAGAATCAACAGAATCGAAGGAAGACAGGCTTGCTAAAGTTTATAGAAATTTGATGGTTATGAATAAAATACAGATTGGTCAGCCATGGATACCGGCCCTGAAGACAGGATCATATTTCAACATCGTAACTAACTTCCTAACTTTTGCCGAACATTTAATTATCTTCAAACCGTTTGGTGTTTCCCTGTTTTAAGTTCTGTTGTGACTTTTTTTGCGCGAACAGCCTTTTCTCCTGAAATCAGCTCAATTGGGCAGCTAAACGCAGATTGTATCAAAAAAGAAGGTTTTGGGTAACAAATCAATTCAGAGGATTATTTTGGAGGTTGAGATTGACTGTTTTCAAGGAGACATATTTTGCGTGCCCTTGCGGGGCCTGGAAACCAAACTCAGGTTAAGTTCACAGGCCCAGCAGAAAAAAAAAAATCAGTCCAGAAAGATTACTGCTAATTTGGCATGGTGCCGAGAAGACGCTTCGATAAATTTTTTTTCCGACAACGACTGAATTCAGTAACAAAACTGCACTTGAAAATAGGAGCACCTCACAAAAACCCGAATTTAGGAAGACGATTCACATTCTCGGAACCTGAAGCAGATTCGAGTGAGCTGAAATACACTCTGGAGGAATGAAATTCCCTCGGTAGGTGATAGTTTCCTAAACAAGGTTGTTATCAAAGTTGTAGTCGCAGAAAAGAGTGTCCCACCTTGAACCTTGTTACCGTGGAACACGTAGGAGAATGAAGCCCTTCACGAACTGCTAAAAAAACCAACCATCGTCTCTTCTTCCAATATGACACTGCCCCAGGAAAATTAAATTTACGGAAGAAGGTAGTTTTTAAAGCAGACACGGAACCTTAATTTAAAAGAACCAAGAGTGCGTCAGTGCAAGGACTCGGTTTTAGAAAGTCTAATGACGCTCTATTCATTTTACTAAGTTTTGCGCGTAGATAAATAAAATTACGAATTTTTAGTTGCAACCTTCGCTGTCAATAATACAGAGAAGATAGAGGCCGAAATCAGAACACATTTTCTTCCGGAACGTGGTTTTAGGACAGTGCAACTGAAAATATTTACAGTATATATTTTCTGTACAGTACATTTTTTTCGGGTGTGATGACTTACGAACCTCTGTAAGTCGAATTTCAAGGGGCCAGCAAACAAATTCCAGTTAGGGAGGTTCTGAGTTAGAGGAAAACGCTTTTTCGATGGCAAAAGCGAAAACAATTTAATGAAATTAAAATTGATGATATTCTAGGCCTGAGATTAATTCTTACATGAGTTGGATTCATTTGCCCCATTAGTCTTCAACGTCCTTTAATACACTTGGAATTACATTTTCATTGCTGTTGTCTTTCATGTGTAAACTAAATAATCGCCAAAAGACCTATAGAAACTCCTAGCTATGAAGGTTTAAAAGGGGAAGCCCTCGAGGTCGGGAGGTTTCTAATGCATTTTTTAAGGGAGTCCCGACAGGGACGTGAAAAAGTCGACATAGGGAAGTATTCGACTTGGGGAGGTTTGAGTTATTAAGTTTAAACTGTATCTGAAATATCTGGAGGCCCATGGGCCACAAGGAAGTTCACAAAACTTGATTGCGCTTCAAGTAAACCTTAATTCATCAAAATAAGTGTGTTAACACCGTCAATTCTCAATTTCAACACAAATCAGCAATCATCCAATGTTTATCATGCACACGGCATCGCTCAGAAAAATTTACACTCATCTCCATTCATCCATTACGCCGTCAACAAATTAAGCACGCAAGCAAAAAACAAAACTTATTTGCTACCCATCGTAAAGTACTTTACGACCAAACGCACATGAGAATTTAGCCAAGGAAATGAACGTTAAAAAAAAAAAAGTGCGTGGAGTACGGCTAATGCCAGAAAAGCTTTAAAGCCTCAACTGCGCCGGGAAAGAAAATATTTGTGAACAAAATTGAGTTTTTTTTTTCAACAGAGAGAAAGTAAACCCACTTCGCGAAATGCGAGACTTCGGATCTTCGCGGAGAATCATAAGCAACACTTCCCACGGCGGTTCGAACTTCTCCAAAAAAAAAAAAAACCTCAAAAACTTCCTTCCCAGCGAACAAAAACTTCGACAGCACAACGAAGACGTTCCCTTCAAATTTATCTCTGGAGACTCACACGGACTGTGAAGCCGACTTCGAACCCTTCCCCAAAAAAAGGGGGGTCGTAATAAGGCCAGAGGACCGACTTAATCGAATTCTCTGGCGATAGAAACACCCACCACACTGCCTTCATTCCGTAAGACGTTCCTCAGCGACGCTCAGAAGATTTCTCCCACCTCTTTTTTTTTTTTAATTCTTCTTCAGTTTAGATTCCCCACATGTCGCCTAGGTCCTCATTTGCCGCTCTGATGCTCGCTCACGCGTTTAATTTATTCTCGGGGCAGCGCAAGCCTGAAAGATCCCTCGCATCTGCAAATTAATCAACGTTCTCTCCTTATTATCCGATGGGTAAGTAGGAAACTTACCCTTGGGACAAGTTCTCTCGGCGGAGGAAATTGAACGCTCAGTTTTATACAGCTTCGGGACTTCAAACGCTTGATACACGGAAGAAACCGGAAGACATTAAACCGATTTTCCTCAACTCCTTGAAATGCGGGGAATCCCCGAAAACCTCCAACAAATCCAGGTATTGTCGTCGTTTTCATGAATTTCAAACGGCTTCCTCGCGTACTGCCCGAACTAGGCGATTATTTCCCGATCCAGTACTTCGGAAATCTTTAAAATTGACGAAACTCGTCACTATTATGCAATACGAGGGTTAATAATCTCGTTGAATGGGACGAATACGGTAACTTCAACGAGAGGCAAGGTCGAGGACGGATTCGTCAACAATGCGCTATTCATAAAAACGCACAACTTTTCATCAGCTGTTGATGACGAACGAAAGAAACATTTTGCAGGAATCAATCATCGTATAATGCTCGGAGAAAATTTCAGAAATGACTTGACAGAGAGCAAACAAATATCCATCACCCTATATTCATTTCCTTGAAAAATTCATGGAAATCAATTGCTCATGGTCCAGAAGTGAATGAGAGTTCTCTTCGTCTGATAGAAACAACCGCATCATCGAAGAACGTGAACCTGTTTTTTTTTTCAGTGCCATTCTCCAACATTTGCACGCTAAATACACAATAAAATGCGAGGTTTTTGAAATTTAACCTCAACTTTGAAAAGCAACGCATTACCGAATAACATGTTCCAATTTTTTCAGTGCCATCCTCCAAAATTTGCACGTGAAATGCACAAAAAATTCGTGGTTTTTCAATATGACCCCAAATTCTGAACTTCGAAAAAACCAAAGAATTCAAATCCAGAGACGAGAAAGCGCAAGGTAATTTTCTTACAAGCCATTTTTAACATCAGCGACAGTGGTCATAATAATAACCTAAATTTACAGGTGGACTCTCTACAACGATATTAAAGGAAGCCGGAAAAAATTCGTTCCACAACATGGGAGAGAACCCCATGTGGTCTGAAAAAAAAAGGCGTTAGCAGAGAATATCGTTGTAAAGAGATTCCACCTGCACTGTAATAAGAATCCTCGGAAGTTCAACAGATTGTAAACTTTTCTAAACAAAAACAGCTGCGAATAGTTACGGAAATTACGCTAAAACGGCGATGAAAGAGAGTGCAATTTTCTCAGCCAACTCGATCTGATGGCTTCGACATTGCATGGTTGCTTTCGGCCACACCATCAAAAATACAGTACTGCACTGTACACAGAAAAAGATCAAAAACAAGTCTTGGTAAGCTTATTTCTTCGAAGCTGGAGAACCCATCACGGCTCTCAATAAGCTGCTTTTGCGCCTGAACCCCAACCCATTTACTCCTCCAAATCTAGGCCGGGTCCTGAGCCGAATACCGGACCTGCTGCGATTAAGAGTGGCCTGTCGGTTGCAGGGTTCCTCCACCTAACTCATGACACGTCGTCAGTGACTAAATAAAGACACATAATACAGATGAGGTGACCAAGAAATGCGTAATATTTCTCCGTTTCTCGACCCGCACAAAGACGTGAAATTGCACCTAGGCCTTGAGGGGAACTAATGGATGAAGGACAACTTGATGATTATTTCTGACAGTGATTGCATCCCGGTTTATCTTCACACTGCTCACCAGCGACGAAGACGAGATGAATTAGAAGACGTGAATTCAATGAACGGTTAATTCATGAACAATCCGACGCTTAATGTCACATTTAACGAAAACTGTGACGAATTCCATATCTTCATCAACATAATCATGATACGGTAATTTGTTGATGAAATCCTTATATTGTAAAGAAACAAAACAAAAATTGCGCACGGACCATCGGCGCAAAAATAATGATAACTATATTGGCAGTCAACTCCAGAATACCGTACCTTAGGCTTGAAGACGAGCATCACGCAAGGTGTGTTTACATTTCTTTTGACTTCCGTAACCCAATTTTACCGAAATATAAGCCATTCAAAAAATACATAAAAAGAAATTCAATTTCGAAATTATGCGTTCAACTTCAGGACCTGTTGAAAATTGTATTCCCTATTTTCTACAATTTTTTTTAAATTTTATATAAGTTTTAATTGCTGCGAATATTTTCATTTCAGCTGGAGATTCCGTTTCCTTTATTCTAAGTTTGAAAACCGACAATATTTTAAAACATTTTACGAAAAAAACTAACGACAGCGATATTTTCCAATTAATGAAGTCTGATTCACTTCCTTGAATGAAACTCAAATTTTAATTAGGCATATTAGTAGACATCTCCCTTCTGCATAAGTATTGCTACAAAAGCTTCTAGAGGATATATCCATCCATGAGTTCAATCAAAGAAGAAAACGGAAGATTTCTTCTTTCATCTCTGTCTTCTTACGGATTTTTCCCCAGCTCTTACGATCCATGGTATATGATTGAACATTGGAAGGCAAAATGAAGCTTCGGATCCTGATATTCCCCCACATACCCTTGTAACAAATGTACGACAACATATGCTTCCCGAAGGCACCGCCAGGGAAAATGAAAGCAAAAGTATGCGTGACTTTTGAAACGGAAGTTCAAATTTAAAAAAAATACGAGAAAGATACAAAATCATGGAATGCCTTCACGACACTCGAAAATGAATGCCCCATAATAAGCAAGATACTCCCAAAGACGCTTTTTCCGCGGATTTTGAAAATGTATCAACTATTTAAAGCTCCTGGAATGCGTCTGCCACTCAGAGAAGACGGGTAGACTGGTGCTCTCTCACAATCCAGAAGTTTCAAAGGTACAACTGACGCATTGAGGAGAGAATTTCATTTCCATAGCTTATGTGTCCTAAAAGAACCGTAGAATACTGTAAAACCAACTTAACCAAGGTCAAGTAGGTGTTCCTTAAATTTGGGCCCTTTATAATAAATGCAGATTCAGCACGGCACGGTACCGTACTAAACGGTGCTTATAACGAATTAGATATTGGTCTCAACTGTAATTTGACCAAGGTTAACATTAATATATATTTTGTGGCCAAGGGTGCCACACTCTAGAGGTGGAGAGTTCTTGTGAGCAAATAACAATAATTTTTCAAGTCCCAAATCTTCCCGCCATTTGAACAATATGTTTCGAATTTAATTCAGTACTATGCAATGAATCACAAGAATAGCTTTATAGAATATTTCAAGGGTGGAGAAACATTTTGAATTTCTAAATCCATCTTTCAATACGGTATGCAGGGTGGGCCAAAAAAAGTGAACCGATTTTTGACTCAAAATAGCTCAGTAGCAAATATGAACAGTGGCAATGAAAAATATACCAATGGAGAGCTTGTTCAACTTCTCTTCAAATGGTATACAGTTTTGTGTTCACAAGTGCCACGGTGTGGTCACAAGAACCATTTGAATGGAAAGTTGCACAAAAACGTTTTTATGCCACTCCTTCCACTATGTTGATGTTCTCTACAGCTGTTTTTAGGTATGCTTGAGGTACAGGACCAGTAATTTAACCAGCAAACTTCATGGTGCCGTCAAGAGGGTTCACACATTCCCAAAGTGTATGAGGTTGGGGATGAGAAGTGCAAAAAAAGATAAAATTGAGCACTGGTATGTTGCTCCTCTCTTGAATTCTGATGCAAGCTTGCATGATCATGTGACCCCCTGCATTCAAATTTTTTTGGGATGACTGGATTTCTCTTAATTGGTTTCACTCATTTATAAAAATGGTCAGGTGGATATGTGTTCAACATGGCGCACTTTCATCCATAGCAGCGAATTTTTCATTTGTATTTCAATTACTTCTGTTTGTAAATATGAGGAAATGAGACTTTGTTGAAAATTGACCATTGATCACAGAAGTGATGGCTGGCCTTTGTCACTAATGAGTGAAACTGATTTTGAGCAATCCAGTCATCCCAAACAGATTTGCACACAGGGGGTCACGGGAGCCATGGGGCTGACATTCAGCAAGTTTGCATCAGGATTCAAGAGTGGAACAACATCCCACTGCTCAATTCTTTTTTTCTTGGCGTCTTGCCAGCACCTCCTAAATTTTGAGACTGCGTGAACCCTCCTGAAGGCACAGTGAAGTTTACGACTTAAATCCTGGTTCTGCACCTCATTCATCTCTAAAAACAGCACTGGAGAATAGGAACACAATGGAAGTAGTTGCCTGAAAACTTTTTTTGGGAAAGTTTCCATCAAATAGTTATTGTGACCACGCCGTGAAAATTTGGACCATAAAACTATACACCATTTGAAAGGGTATTTAAGTGTTTGAACAAGCTCTCATTTGTTTTTTTAATTGCCACAGCTCAATATGCTACTCAACTATTTTGAGTAAAAAAAATCGGTTGTTTTTTTGGTCCACCCTGTACTCGTATTTTTTGAATTGTGGGAGCTGTCACCTTGAAAATTATGCAAAAGGGAACGACGGAAATACAGAGAGTCTCTGAGGGCCATATCTGGCCCGCGGGCCGTATGTTGGGCATCACAGATTTATTTATTCAATGGCACAAAAGGATTTTTCGATGTACTCCGCATTAAAAAAGGCTATGAACTTCCCCTTTAAAATAATCCCTATCTGCAAGAAACATTGTTACACTAAACTCATAATTTTCTGAACAAAAATTGAAAGGAAAAAATGCGATATCCTTCATTCTGAAGACGAAAAAAAACTTTGCGTTGCAGACAGACAGACAGACACACACACATATAAATACTGACTCAGAGAAAAAGCCACAAACCTTTGTTTTCGGACTTTTGTAGAGAAGCAAATGCCCGGGTTTGAGCACACACCACAACTTGGTCCAGCCCTTGAGCGTACCCCTGACTTTCAGCCAGTCGTGCATGATGATGATGGACGGGTCTCTTAGAGCCGATGTCAGTTCCCCGGCTAGACGCTTCTTCTCCTTTCGATACGTCTTCCGCTGGGCCTTGTACTCCATCTTGGACGACGAGGACATGACCGACGGCGTCCCTCCAGCCGCCGCCACCAGCGACGGCGTCATGCTTCGAGCCACCGGCGGAGTCGACGGGTTCGACGAGCCGCCTTCGCCGCTCGAGCCGTTCCCCGACGTTATCAGCAACGTCGGAGTTCCTGGTGCCTGAAGGTCAAACACGATAGAAAATATTTATAATTAATTCAACAGTACTGTACAGTACTATACACGCGATTCCAGAACAATCTCGAAAGTTTTCCCAGCAAAACTTGGGAGGCACTACACTAAGCAGCGGAACATAGAATAAGCCTTGTTTCAAATAAAATAAAATAAATAAATCAGCGCATTTTCCAAGCGTCTCCCCGTACCGAACTACAGTACAACAGCGTAACTCTTTACTCGGAAGCTCATCAGTAATGGGTTCTTTCCTTTTGGAAATTATCCCAGAACTTTTCCCAACACAGGTTCACTTAGTTCCGCAAGGTTTTCTTGCGGTAGGGTACGATGTTTAGGTCTCTGGCATCAAGTTAGCCTCATTGAATTGAATTATGCAGTCATTTGGCGTTCGGCCAGACTAACAATGACTTCAGTTGAGTTTTTTCGGCATTACAAGGGACTAAAGTAACTATACGATAAGTTCGCGTTTGATCTGTAATTGCTAAATTGGATGTGTAATGCATTTTATTGTCAGCATGCAGCTTAAAAGGAATAGAATCGCACTCCTAGGTAAAAATTTGTTTCCCCGCTGGACCGTAATTCCCGATTCTCTTGGACTTCTTTCCTCAAATTTCGAATGATGAATCAACCAACCATCAAAAATACCGTAATTTTTCATCAACTTAAATGTCGATCTATAGAAGTGCGACTGAAAACTATTACTAATCCCTCGTAGATTACTCTAGCCACGCAATCTTCTATCTGTGCTCCGAAGTAGGCTCGTAGATTCTCTTGAGCTTCGTTCCAAAAATTTCGAATAATCAGCCTACCATCAAAAGTAATGTTACTCATAATCTTGAATGACAATTTTCCGAAGTGCGACGGCAAATTATTGTCCAATTCCTCGCGGATTACTTCAGTCACACATTAGATCAAATCAGTCCGGAATTAACACACATTCTGGTCGAAAAGGCTTTAGGTTTATTTAGTCAAAGCCCAAATGCAATTAGTTCGGCACTAAGACAGGCTAGTTTCAGGATACGTCAATAGATTGCAAGAATATCGTCCTTGTTGCGGCGCATAAATGAAGAGGAGGCGAGGGCAGTTTCCACATAGAAGAACTAATGCATCAAAAGAAATTACACATTATCCAGAGATTCTGATTATTTCGCGTGATGAAGAATCGTCGGAAATGCGCATTTTCTCCACCAGCATCACGACGTAATCGTCACTATTTCGTCCTTCCCGTGCCTACATAGCACAATCGAATATATTATACTATATATTCCGGCATTTCTAGACAGAAGAACAAAAGTAAACAAAGAGAAGGACAAAATTATTCTGAAGAGGGCGCAGTGCTTTGATTTCCTTCGGTCAATACAGTCGTCCAAGTGAATTCGGTCAATACGAATTGATTCAATCGATGAGCGTAATGCAATTATCGCTATTCCGGCAACAGAACTGATCAATAGACACATGGAAGTTTATTCGGTACTGCTCACATATTACATAATTCGGATTGAGCTGACCAGTAGTTTACCTCGACCAGATAAACCATATTCATCCACTCAGATCGACTTATAAAAACCTTTGATTTTATGAAATGCAGATATAATATACCGTTTCAACGCGAATGTAAGCACCCATTTCGTTCCAATTTTAGAAGCTCGAAAACTAGGGGGTACTCATTTAGTACTGCATTAGCACGTTCACGAAATTTGGGTCAATATCAGGAAAACTTTCCATTTGTGGCCCAAAAAAACCATCAAGCACTTCTCTTCCGTTTTATGTCATAGAAGTTGAAAATAATTGAGAAATTATCAGCTTTTAGCACTTCGAGATGCATCAGTCCTCGACTAACAGGGGAGAGCAACGGTTATGTGACAGTTTTGCCTTTTCTCGGGAAAATCTAAATATATTTTAAAATTCCGCGTTCCTGGCAAGTCAGAACACCAGGAAAGTAAGTGGATGCTTACATTTGCATATTAATTGAATTTTAAATTTGTGCATGGAAAATCTAGGGGGATAGGGGTACTCATATCCGAGTAAACACCGTATGTTCATCATCCATTTTCCCATTGGAGGAAGTTCCACAGGAATGTGCGCGATTAATCATTGATTTATGAAATTAGTTCCTTGTGTTCTCAAAGCAATGAAAGCCAGTCAGAACAAGCCTGAAAGCTCTACATCAGGCTTCCTCTAAAACTAAAAGCCTGGGAATTTCCGCACAGCTTTAAAAAATCTGACGTAAAAGAATTAGAAAAACGCAAGGTAGAAGTTACATGGAGAAAAAATTGTAAATTAATTTTTAATAGAGGAAGTTCAACACTCCGTAGGAACCTGCCTCATCAAGTTTTCCAAGTGCAACTATTACGGCGTGTCTGAACACATACAAAGACCACGTAAAATATTGGCTCTCTAAAACGCTTTGATCTCACTTTCGTATTTAATCTAACTTCGGAATAAGGGGATTCCCACTACTGTCTAGTGGAAACCCATTCTTAGTTGTGCAAATCAAACGAGATTTCTGATTTTTAACGCAGTCATGCAACTAGAAATGAAAGAAATAACCCCAGAAGAAAACGACCGACACTTGTTCAAAAGTTCAAAACCGAAACAATGAATATGACTATATGAGAATATGGATTCTTACAAGAAACAGTGCACCAATGTATTCCAACAATTGCTAAAACTGACGGAAATGAGAAGGGAACAATTGAACATCAGCATCAGAGAACGTACCCGCTACAAATATAATTAAATGAGGCTATTGGTATGGCCCAGAAACTACACCCGTCATGTCTCTTCACAGGAAATTCGGAAGCCAAGGACGTAGATTCTATTCGAGGTCGGAAATTGACTTCGAACAGAAACTTCGCTAAGCAAGATAAATTCACAGAAAATTTTCCCGCTCTTCTAGGATCAACCGACATCTGGCGTACACCATAAAATAAACGAGAAAGTCTTCATATGCAAATAATCTACAGAATATAAAGTTCAGAATAGATCACAGAAACTAAAAAGCTACGACGCACATAATCTTAAGGAAGCAGGCGGATTAAATGACTAAAATAATACCAGGAACAAGCAAAATAAACGCAGTCTACGACCAAGCAGAAATAAATTGTGATTTGAGATTTCTTGCCTTGAATCTTCCAGTTGAAAATGAAATCTCGGGGTTCGCGACTCTCGGGAGTAATGAAAAATTCGGAACCGAAAGGCTGAAGAAACGCAGAGATTTGAATAATATATCCACTGAAGGAGCAAGAATTATTTAAAACCATCGAAATAATACTAAAATCTCGCGAGAAATTGCGTTTCCCGAAGATATCGAGGAACCGAAATTCAGGCATGCTTGCAAATGGCTAGCAGAAAAAATGTAGGCATTCAAGAAGTGCGCCAAAATAGATCAAAGAGTCATTTTCATAACATTCACGCAACGAGGTCCTCAACAGCTTCGATTCATCAGCTCAAAACCAACGATTTTCGCCTACCCACGATAATTCGTCAAAATCAACAAAACTGATGTCCGTCTGCAAATGATACCAAGTCAAACTTGTTAAAGTCGAACTTCGAAGAACCAAGTTGGCAGGATGCTGACTTTGGAGGCAAAGGTTCATTTGCCCGGTTTATCTTTCACTTCCTTTCAAAACAAATTTAGATACTGTAGACTTTTATTCCTTTTCTCCAATCTGTGTCAATGAAAATAACAGCCAAAATGCATCCAGGAAATTCGAGATATGAAGGAAAGCCTTCGAGTTAGGAAGCTGTTTAATTGCATCGTTTCTTAAGGGATTCAGACAGGGACTTGAAAAAAATAGACAGGAATTCGACCAATGGAAGTTCGAGTCATCGAAGTCAAACTATGCAGAGGATAAAATAAACAACAAAATAATGATTCTTCGTTTTATTTTTTTCCTTTCAACTGCGAAGCACCTTCGGAACCTTTGATCCATGCATCCACCAGTGGGAAGACGATTTCGTAGATTTCGAGCTCCTCACACTCATGTCTGCGTTTATTCCAATGATATCACTGCTCGATCCAAACGACGGATTCCCGAGCTTCATCACAAATCCGACATCGCGACACTTCCCACATCGAACGCGGAACAGAATACCAGGTCGCAACGACCCATGGGAACCACGCAACTGCGTCAGTCTCTGAAGGAAAACTCACAGATGAGTCTCATCCTCCACTTTCTCAAACCCCTCAAGGAGAAGGAAACGAAGACAAAAAAAAAAAAAAAAAAACGGCTGCACTTCCACATGATCCCCTCAACCGTTCCGGACAGCGCATGCCAGAACCATATTGCTTCACTGGTTGGCGGTCGCTGCTACCTCGCTGACTTTTATTTCAAGAAAGAAAAAGGGAATTCCATATCCTAGTTTTTAACAACGAAACAAGAGTTAGGCTTAATGTTACACATTGGATGCTGGGTTGGGCAGGGTGTTACGTTCGGGTTCAGTTTAGCTCTTGAAACATAAATTGAAATCATGTCGATCGCGTTAAAAGATCCACTTAGAAAAAGAGAAAACCATTGGAGATGCACCGAATAACCTGGGATCAATATGAACAATTAAAAGCAAACCTCATCAATTGCTAAGGTCACTCTTCATTTGCAAACCTGATTTGGCAACTTCTAACTCGCCCGTTTCGAATTCGAAGCAATCTCCCTATTTATATCTCACGTGTTCGTGACCTACCCTTCGAAATTGAATGTTTCAGGATTCAAGATAGTTTCTTCAGACCCGTGGCCATTATACACGAATTGATTCCTTTAGTAATACTGTACAGCTATTTGGCATAGTTGTGGTCACGTACGAATTGATGCAAGATTTGAAAGAAAGGCTGAGTTCTAAAAGGAATAGGGTTCACTATCAACTCTCTGTCCTCGCCATTTCGATCTGGAAGCAAAATTTGAAAGCGTTTAGGAAAGGATTGAATTCAACTCAGAAAATGTTCTTCGACTGCGTATTACATCAACAATGGGACGGTAGATAATTCAAGAAAAATCAGGGTTAGTAATACTCCAGAAACAATGACAGATTCAGTGGGATGTATTTTATGCTTAAGAGAGCTTACATTCTCGTGAAAGAAAAAACAAGTTTTCTTATAGACTTTTCGTCTGGGAGTATGAAGCACCGCAGATCGTGAGCGTCCACTTCACGTATTAGCTAAGACTGTTCGCATTGTGAGAAAAAGATATGTCAAACAGACAAACTCACAAAGTTGAAAATATGATATGGAATGGATGAAAAATTTAAGAGAAGAGGCAATTGAATTTGAAGGCAAGAATTAAGGTTCTTTACGCGAGAGTAAAGAGTCGAATGTATAAATATGGGCTAAGTAAATCAGCTGGGACAAAGTCCGAGTTTGAAATGAGTTATATTTCGTTTGATGATAAACACTTGGTCAGAATTTCGGAATTCGGAGTTTCTGCGAGACGAAAAAGCTTCTCTGCTCGGAGATCTGCTCAGGTTCACAATTCGAATGCGAGTGATGAAAATACGAATTCTCTCGAATGTAAGAGCACTTTCTTTTTTGTTCAAAAGAATATCTGAAAAGCAGACCCTCATACTTCGTGGCGTCTAGCACTCGCAGGTGAAGTGCATAATCGATTCTGACAAGCGTAATCTAGGCAATAAAATTCGTTTACATTCCAATCGCACGAATTATCGAACATTTTCAGGTCAAGAACACAAGCCTGAGCGAAGATTCTTCAAGGATTCACGATTTTTAAGACATTCGTGATCAAATTTCTTTTTCTTATGATTAATAACGTCATACAACTCAGGGTGAACATCGTACAGACGAACCTCTTCAAATCAAACTTCAAGGGACCAGGGTAAAAATTCGACTTACGGAGGTTTCAAGTCAGGGATACAATCATTTCTGTTGGGGAGAAGAAAAAATAACCCCAGAAAATTATAATTGGAGATATTATAGGCCTCAAATTGGTTCTGGAATGAGTTGACAGGATTCTGAACTTGGGAGGCAAGGGTTTATTTACCCAATTAATCTTTCACTTCCTTTCAAACAAATCGTTAAATTGTTTTCCCCGTTCCTGTGTCAATAAAATAATAGCCAAAAGGCCTCAAGAAACTTAGATTTATGAAGGTTTCCGCGGGGAGCCTTCCAGTTTGGGAAATTTTTAATGCATATCTTTACGGCGGATTCAGACGAGAACTTGACAACAATTCGGCTTGGATAGGTTCGAGTCATCAAGGTTCAACTGTATACACACTTTCCCACTCTCCTCCGAACGCCAAATAAAGGCAGCTTCTGACCAGGGACAGTAAACGCGACATTGCCGACGACAGTCAGCGTAGTTCTGAACCAAGGAAGAAACGTCCTCCTCAGTCGCTGAGCAACCAAGTCACACACACACATACATATACACACGCATGACGACGACGACGAAACGCGGCACAAGGCACCGAGAGGTGCGGACTTCGTTACAGCTGGCGCGGCTCCAGCTAGCGGCCCCCTTTGGATCAATACCAAAGGAAGAGCGCAGCTGCTCAGTAAGTTTCCTTGGGCCTCCTTATAGGCATCGTTGTTATCGTTGCTTCCGCAGCGATTTCCGGGTAGGCCGACACCGCTTTCCCACCACCTTCCTTCCCACAATAGTTCCGAAAGAAGTAAAAATAAAAACGAAACACCCCACCGGAGAAGCCATATGAACAACATGCGCAAGAAGATGCTTCCACGGCGCAGGGAATTTTGCATCATACACAGTTTGCTCCGAAGCATGTCCGCATTGACAACTGAAGTGCACCAAGCTGAGCCCAGTCTTCAACCAAACTTTCCCAACCTCAGTGATTATTTCGAATAATAATAATAAAAAAATCATAACAAAACTTGATGCTGTTCGTAGGAATAATCTGGCAATGATTTAGGTCAGGGACAAGATCCCTTTCTTGAAACAGCCGACTTCGAAACCAGGGTATTATACATTACAGTATCGTATTCAAGACATGGAAGGTGATTTGTTGTGAAAGCCGCATGTTTAGTCAGACAAGGATTTTTTTAGTTAAGGGTTAAATTAGCTGGCCCTTCCCGTAGTTGGTCGTAGCTTGTAGGCATACAGACTGATAAGGCAATAGAATGCTTTGATGAAATAATTCGTTGGATTCTGTGTATTCATAGACTTTTGACATTATGTAGATATTTGGTCACGTTTAGGTTGCGGGTTCGTCATAAATGGCAACCACATCAACTCCAGATACACTGAGCAATGCCACCGTAATAGATGGTCAACCGGCAATGAAAACTACTCAAGTCTTGAGAGATAAAATATTTACTGAATTAATCAAATCGGAAAATTCCATTACTCTACACCGCACTAGCAGTCCGAAATATCTGAAGAAACAAATCATGGCCGAGACAGCTACGCAACACGTGACAAGGGGTCGTCAGTGACCTTACGTGACACAGGGTACCAATTGCGCATGAAACACCAATTTCCATACTTGGACTTCCACAATAAGAGCACAGAACCAAAACGGAACAGCACGTAATAACCAAACTTTCCCAACCTCAGTGATTATTTCGAATAATAATAATAAAAAAATCATAACAAAACTTGATGCTGTTCGTAGGAATAATCTGGCAATGATTTAGGTCAGGGACAAGATCCCTTTCTTGAAATCAGCCGACTTCGAAACCAGGGTATTATACATTACAGTATCGTATTCAAGACATGGAAGGTGATTTGTTGTGAAAGCCGCATGTTTAGTCAGACAAGGATTTTTCTAGTTAAGGATTAAATTAGCTGGCCCTTCCCGTAGTTGGTCGTAGCTTGTAGGCATACAGACTGATAAGGCAATAGAATGCTTTAATGAAATGGTAGTTGGATTCTGTGTATACATAGAGTTTTGACATTATGTAGATTTTTGGTCACGTTTAGGTTGCGGGTTCGTCATAAATGGCAACCACATCAACTCCAGATACACTGAGCAATGCCACCGTAATAGATGGTCGACCGGCAATGAAAACTACTCAAGTCTTGAGAGATAAAATATTTACTCAATTAATCAAATCGGAAAATGCCATTACTCTACACCGCACTAGCAGTCCGAAACATCTGTAGAAACAAATCATGGCCGAGACAGCTACTCAACACGTGACAAGGGGTCGTCAGTGACCTTACGTGACACAGGGTACCAATTGCGCATGAAACACCAATTTCCATACTTGGACTTCCACAATAAGAGCACAGAACCAAAACGGAACAGCACGTAATAATATCAACTCACAACCAAGTCAATATTCGAATACAAACACGTTCACGATAGAACAGAATATTTTATTAGCGCTTTTAGAATTGAATATTCCTGAATCATTCAGATTACGAGTTACTCCGTTCTTGTAGGAATATATTTTATGGGAATGTGTCTGCGTCACGGTCACATTTGAAATGAGAGTCCCAATCGGATTTAAATCGTGCGTTCGGAAAGAATACAAGAGGAAATCAAATTACCTGAAGGACAGTGTTCATCGTTCGGCTTCTTGTGAGATTCCCGTCCTACACAAGATAATCCGGATAATCCGTTTATCCACTGATGCTTGTATTATGGAATGAATCGTCACAGATGAAATCCACGTTAAAACACTACGTGGTTGATACAGGTGGGAGACTCAACGGCTGAACACGTGCTTGTGCTTGTTGATTCATAAGTTGAACGAAGCCAACAACGTGGCATTGAATGATTCCGGCACTCAATCACCAAGTTCACCGGCACTTCCTGTGAACATGCTCTGGAATGAACAAAATCAAACAAGTATCTAAGAATGCAATAAAAAGGAACAAGGCCATCATCAATACACACATTCAGCAAAAATCTGAAGCTAGAGCACCACAGCCTGCCCACTGGGAAAACTCACTGTTGTCTCACGGGCGCAGCCATGTTTCACCACTACTGCTCTCTATCGGACAAATTGAATCTGTGTTGAAGTAAATTTCGAGTTGTGAAACTAGAAGTACTGTACATCAGCGTCCAAGTTGAAAATACAGTACTGTACTTTACCTTTGTCCATAAAAGAATTGCCGGGAGCGTGTACATCTTTTTTGAGCTCAAAATTCTACGAAAAACTTCGAAAATTAACTTTAAACAAGACTCAAAGCACTATGCAAAGCCTAAACAAGTGGCCGCAAACATTTTTCCAAAGAATTACAGTATGATATAGCAGCGGGAAACTCTTTGAAATGGACATCGCTGCTTCCTTCAATAACACGCTTAGGTTGATGGAACTCTTCGAAAATTGCGAGGTATATCATTACATGCATTGAAACGCAATGTATTTCAAAACGAAGTACAGTACTATAATCGTGCCATATAGTCCTCTCATTTCATCAAGTTCATCAAAGGGTGACACATTATAATAAGGAACTACAGCATACAACTTTCGAATGCGACATCGACAGTTTATGTATACGAGACATCAGCATCCTTTGTAAATATACATAGAAAGAGCTGCTGCACGGCAAAAAGGCAAAGAACATAATGATCTCTGAATCGTTATATGCATCACAAATCGCGTTTCAGCCTGAATAAGTTTTCTCCTGTCGTCAAACCTCCAAAACTGATGCACTGTATATCCATAAAAATTAGTCGGTATAATTTAGGGGTCTCAATTTAACTTCCAGATTCGTCAGCTGCCTTCCGACCGCGAACACTGTTATTCGATACTCTATCAACATCTCCGCAAACTACATTACCCTTTTTTTTTGCTCCTTCAATTAAACCCGCCATTATATACAGTCCATATAGTCGACTGATGCAAACTATGCACCATAACAATGATGATGAAAGCTATACGGCAAATCAAAATGGAGGAATGTGATCAAAATCAGAATCCCTCCTTAATGGAAGCGCAGCACCTTCGAAATCAAAGCCACGTCCCTACGGACGTACATAGAATCTGCATAAATCCGTCGCAATCTATTGGCAGCTTATTCATGTGCAGAGCTTCTATGATCCTTTTCAGTCAAATCCAGTGGCACTTGGATCTCAACCTAGGTTGTGATATAAGGGCAATATCATCCGGACCCAGATCACATACAGGGTGAGCCAAAAAAAAGGAATCAATTTTTTACTTGAAATAGCTCAGTAGTAAATTGAGCTGCTGTGGCAATAAAAAAATAGCAAATGGAAGTTTTTAATTCTCTTTCAAATGGTATACAATTTTTTGGTCCCAAGTGCAACAGAATGGTCACAAGAACCATTTGAATGAAAACCTTGAAAAAAAAGCTGTCAGGCAACTTCTTCCACTAAGCTGCTGATCTGGAGAGCTGTTTGTATCAATAAGGGAAATGAATAATGCAATAATATAGCCAGCAAACTTCATGGGGTTGTGGAGAGCATGAAATTATTTTGAATTAAACTGACTTGGAGTGAAACTCAAAATCAGTTTAATTCAAGGTGAGTTTCAGTTTAACTCAATAAGTTGAGTTTCACTCGACTGATTTTGAGTGAAACTCAACTTGAATTAAAAAATCAGTCCAGGCAATCAGTTTAATTCAAAATCATTTTCACTTGAGATCAGATTCTGCAATCCAGTCATCCAGAATAAAAATGTGAATTTTAGTGGTCGCTGGGAACCACAAGGCCAGTGCCCAGCGGCACACAATAGCTCTGCAGCATCCTATCTTGCCAATGTCCTTCCCTGTTTTCAATCCCTCTGTCTGAATTTTGGGAACATGTGCAGACTCTCCAAGACAGCATGAAATTTGCTGGTTACATTATTGCATCATTCATTTTCTTTATTGATGCAAACAGCTCTCCAGATCAGCAGTTTAGTGGAAGAATTTGCCTAACAGTTCTTTTTTTGAAAGTTTACATTCAAATGGTTCTTGAGACCATTCTGTGGCACTAGAGGGACCATACATATGTATACCATTTGAAAAAGAATTTAACAAGCTTTCATTTGGTATTTTTTTCATTGCCTCAGCCCAATTTGCTACTAAGCTATTTCAAGTCAAATATTGGTTCAATTTTTTTGGCCCACCCTGTGTATAGTGCATATATATACAGTATATATATATATATATATATGAAGGTAAAACTCAGCAAAAGAATTTAGATTCCTGTCATCATCCTGGTGTTGAAAACTTCTGAAACTGCACATGCATCTGCTGAATTGCTGATGCAGTATATATGTGCATGATGAGTGCTCCGCGGGCCAGATCTGGCCCGCGGGCTTTATCTTGGGCACCACTGTGATGCACAGTATTTGAAATCACGCCGCCGAGCTTCTATGAAATTACTCAAGTGTCAAGTGTACAACAAAACTCCATACAGTATTACATTATCTGATTCACAATATGTCCCGGTGGCTTCCGCCCGCAGGATTGATAAGGGATACTCCAAAATTTGAAATTTTCAAAAGATGATAATTTTCTCTGAATGCGAACACTCACGAAATAACTTTTTCTCGTTCTTCTGCAATACGTAGACCCCAAGCTCGTGTTCCATCGGTGCTGGTCAAAAAGCCTGAGGGTGGCATCCATCTAAACACAGCAAGCCAGAATCTTTCTTTGTGAAATACTGTAAATCTTTAGCGAATATTGTAAGCACACCGAGAAACATGTTTTCCTGGTTTCCCGCGGGAATTCCCCAGACGAATTGCCCGTCATTCTACTCGGCTGGATCGTTGACTTTTCCTTTTTCCTCTTCTTTGGAAGTTTATATGCCTAAAGAATGAGAAAAATGAGCACATAACTATTGATCAAACCTGCAGCCCCTCTCGATCTCGGCTTTAAACCTTGCTGCCTGCATTCCTGTCTCAATCTCTGTCAGTCTGGATCCTAAAAGCGGGTCCTTCTGTTACCGGGTGGGTCAGAAATCTCAGAATCAACGTGCCAGGAATGCGTAAGGTGCAATATATCTTAAACGAGCCAAAAATCAATGAAGTTGAAGAAATTATCATTACAAAATGTCATTTAAAATTAACTTCGGATGATGCCAGCAACCAGAACCGAGTAAATTGCTTGAGGAATATACTCGTTGGAATAAAATTCATCGAAAATACTTAACCCATGTATGTTTTTTTAAAGCACAAAATTATAGTGGTTAAACAAAAACTGGTCTCATTTTTTTGAGCGTTCGTATAATGTTTAATTAGTGACAGGTGAACAGTCAGCCATACAAAACTTTTCTACTGAAGTTCAGCTAAAATCTCAGGAGCAAGCGATAAATTTTTTCCTACAAAAGTTTCCCATCAAGTTTTTGGCTTATCGGTAAAGATTAGCTTACACTTATATGGGGTCTGGAGAATCCAACATTCCCACGAGGTTTCCACACGTGGTAAAGATGAAGAAGTCTCGCAAAACCATGATACACGTCTCTATAATGAACTTAGAGGATCAAAGAAAAATTCGTTGTATAAATTTGGAGAACACCAGTGTGGATATAGACGAGACTCCTCTGGGATAAAAAAAAATTCGTTTCACAGAGAAAATTGTTGGTGACACGATTATTGTAGAGAGCCTAACCGCATTTAACTTTGATTTCAGGTAGACTCTCTTGACAACTTTTTTTGGTCTCTTAGGGTTTTCCATGTTATAGGGGTTTTCAACAATGAAATTCTCTCTACGACGAATTTTTTTTTGGTCCCTTGAAATTCGTTGTAGATGAGAGGAAGTCCACCTGCAGAATTTGGATTCAAGGTGTTTCAAAGCCACATTCTCACTGGGTTGACCTATTTATTGGATAAGACCATACATTTTCTTAAAACTTTTACTGAGAAAAATGTCTTTTAACTGAAGATCGGCAGGATTGGTAAAATTAAAAATTTTAAAAATGCGCTTCGATTTGGCTCTTAAATTCTTCAGCATACATCGCTTTCTGGTTTTAAATTTTAACTGTAAAATATTTTCCAGAATCTATATTTTTCAACGGGTACATTTTTGGTATCTTTCATCGAAGCGCGGAAGGCCGGAAATTAAACTCGTTTTATGCGCTGAACTTGCATGTATTTTTATTTTCTATTTCTGGTCGTCTCTATGCCATTTCCTCCATCTACATTCCTGGCAGTTTCCAGATAAGCCAAAATATACAGTTGAGGCTCTTCTTACAATAATGGCTGATTTTCCCCACGATCAGAGCAAAAAGCTGCCGAAAGGAGTTTATTTCGAGTGGCAAAAGCGGAAAGTTAATTGCAGCGCTCAATGTACATTACAGTAACTATATATAGACGACAGAACAATCTTAATTTTGAATTGTACAATAGTATTTTATTCTTTCCCCATCTAGTTAACATAGTTCAATATAATATTGTGTTTGCGTCTGCATTCAATTGAATATGAGATGCATAGGAAAACAATATTGTGTAAAGAAATAACTAGTCCTTTACTGTACAAGAATTTCAAATGATTTATGTACGTTAGTTTACACAGCTTTTACATTGAATTTGGTAGAAGAACGTTTTTGGACGCTACATGAATATATGAGATCGAAGGGTTTAGCAAGTTCAATAAGACTATGACGGTTTATTTGATTCAGGATTTGTATGGGTTTAAAAACAAAATGGGTTAATCCATTTAATTTTTAAGCATCAACATTTTTGTTTGATTCCCACAACACCCTTCACTTTACGCACGACCCTTTCAAGCTAATGTATTTCCGCTACGCTTGGCTGCGCCTGGTGCGCTAGCAATTATAATTCACAATCCCGTTGTTGACGGAATACTTTCCCAACTGCGCTCACGCTTCCTTCCTTTAAATAAACAAAGCATGACGTCCCCGATCCGAATCGGTTTCTATGCGCATTCTTTGACCTCGGCCGGCCAAAGCTATATATACAGGTGCATTTTATGTTGCGTTAAGTTTACCACACCAGACTCTGTCCAAACGCCAAATCTATGTTGCTTCGCTCTTGGTAGAAAATATTGTATCGACTGTGTGAAGATAAATAAAGAGACATTTGAAATACTCTCACGGAGTAACTTTTGCGTTTCCTTCAAAAGTTGCGGAAAACAAATTAAATCTCTGATCCCCCTTTCCACTGATTATCAGAAAGTAGCTCTCAATGACTGATCATCGTTGATCACCAACTTTCGTAAAATAGTTTTTGGATAACAAATTATATGGTTCATCACAAACACTTGCAAGGCATGCATTTTAATAAATGCAATACAGGTAGTACCTTGCAATTTGACCTCCCACAATTTGACCATCTCTAATTTGACAATCAAATTTGCTGGGAGGTCAAGTGTCAATTTGACCTCTGCCTTGCAATGCAACCTGTGGAGAGACATGAAACATAAAATGCCATGTAGAAAACATGCCATTTGAAGTTGTCTCAAAATTTGAGAACTTTGCAATTCAACCCTAGTCCAGCAATTCATTGAGGTCGAATTGCAAGGTGCCACCTGTACAGGTGAACTGCTCTCTTTACATTGCAAGTCAAGGGACCAGCAAAAAAGTTGTTGTAGCAAGAATTCTGTTGTAGAGAACCCATATGACATGGAGAGAGAACCCTACATAGAAACAAATTGTTATAAAAAGAAAGTCTTTCTTGACAATATCGTTGTAGAGAGATACCACCCATATAAAATGTGGTAGGTGTTGGATTTGACTTATTCCAGACCGATGTCCATGGTGAAAAAATGCATTACCTGCGTATTGTATTCAACTGAACGTATTTTCAAAATGGCTGATCCGTTCCAAATTATTCGGGCACTTCTTTCGTAAAATGTGAAAAAATGAATCGAAATTGTGTCTATGTTTTTTCGTGAAACAGCAGCGAAGTACGCATAAATCAAAAGAGCCAATGATCAAAAGTGTTAAAAATATAGATATATTTATGCAGTAGAAGACATGAGGAATGGCATCAAGATTTCTTGAGCCAGTTCTTATGAACTCTCAATTGTTGTTTCGCCTTTGATTTGGAATAGGGTGCATATTCTTGACTATTAAGAGCAAAGACCGTTGGTAGCCTAAAACAAATTGTCGAAAAAATCCACTATGCGAGTCATCCAGTACCCAGGGTAACTATTGTGCAGTTTTAAAACCAGTGCACCCTTATTTTTATTTGTAACCCAAATATATAACTGTCTCAATAATTCGTACATTCTTTCTGAACTCAGAAAAACTGACATAGACACTCGAATGAAATCCAGCACGAGTCTAAAAATTCGAGGTCGCCATCCATCTGAAAATTGACACAGTACTATAACTGTACCGTGAGATAGCATACCTTTTTGCAGCACTACCAAGATGTCCCATGCGGCAGTTGCTGTTGCACTATAGCAAGTCTGATCACATCAACTTCTCGCATCAATCTTCATAAATATTCATAGATGGGTCCTATCTCCCAACAAAGACAGGTGAAAGTTTTCATGACTCAAACTTAGAGTTTCGTTGTGACTTCTGATTGCATGTGCTATCTTGATAGGACACCTGGCTGAGGTCGGAGCACAATCGAAAACGCTCAGAAATGTATATAAGAGAAAGACAATTTTACCGCGAAGCTGAGAAATTACGATTTTTTTCCCGATCAGTTGGAGAAAAAGAAAAGATGAGAAAGACGCTCAAGTGAAATTTGAACATTCGATGAATTGCGGGGTATAGCTGATTTTCTGAAAAAAAGTTATTCAGATGGTTCCGAGGAATCTACAGAGCTAAAATATAAACAATCAAAGAATCATAAATACGAATGTTCTAGTAAGTTCCACCAAGAGTTGAATCGAAAACGCTCCAAAATTTATTGTATAACAGTTGATATTTTCGCCGCGAAGCTGAGAGAAATCAGAATTATTTTCCTGATCAGATAGAAAAAAATATAAATAGAAAAGCGATCAGTAGATATTTAAATGCATTTTATAATGTGGGTTTTCGCTTATTTTGTAAATATGACAAAATTTATTATTCGACTGGTTTTGCAAAATCCAGAGAAAAAATACGAAAAATCAAAGAATCAAAAAAGCAAATGTCCTGAATTAAGTTCCCCCATGAGTTAAATCGAAAACGTTGCAATAAAATGAATTGTATAAGAGTAAATATTCTCGCCGCGAAGCTCAGAAATTAGGCTAAATTTTCTGATCATCAGAGGGGGAAAATGTCAGGAAAAACTTAATCAGTTGATATTTGAATAAATTCAATTATGTTAATATTCGCCTATTTTTTAAATTTGGACAACATTTATTATTCGACTGGTTTTGAAAAATCCATAGAGCAAAAATATGAACAATATCAAAGAATCATAAAAACGAATGTTCTGAAGTAAGTTCCACCAAGAGTTCTTCAGCAACTTCTCGCGGATTAACTTCGTCGGTTCAATGCATTCACAAAACTTGGCAATGCACTTGAATGAACAGGCTTGTCCAGAGGAACGCAACTTTCGAGTGATCATTTTTCATCAAACCCAGATTTTTCTCGGATCTCGGTGGCAGTTGGGAATGGACCATCGGATGAAGGATTGTTTCCTTCGGGACGCTTAGCGAATTGCTTGTATATGGTCATGGCCTGAAACATTTTTTTTGAAGAAAAATATTTTTCAAAATTTAAATGTTTGATAACAAAAGTTCAAGCACTAAAATTCAGACGATGACCTACGCAAGACAGAACTCAAGTTCCTGGACTTATTGCTTTACCATTCTCCTTTAAACGAAAGACACATTTTATTGTATGACATCAGCAACTAATGGTTATAGTAGAGCAAAACATAGACCATCAATATAATGCGTACATAAAATTATACCCTTGATTGATCTCCCTTTCAACTGATTTTCTTTCAGCAAAATTAGCAGAAAAAATTAGAAACAAGTATTTCAGAGATACCTGTCATCCTCAGTTTAATTTATATTCGTTCAAATCTCGTGCATAAAAAAATTCAGATTCTATTCAGAACTTTACCTTGGCAACCGCAGTTGAAACGTCGTCAGGATTGTTAGGAATGATCATGGTGTTGCTTTCCTTGGCGAGCTTTCGAAAAGCTTCCACGTAATTCTCTGCTACTTGCAAAGCTGCGGCGTTAATCCCCGTCTGTAGCAAATATCAAACATCATCTCATCGTATTTCCTCAATTTTTTTCTCCAGATGATGAGGAAATAATGATCACCTGATTTCCCAGCTTCGCGGCGAGAATTTCCAAGGATTTCGCGTGAGCTTCCGCCCTCGCAATCACTGCAGCTGCGTCGCCATGAGCTCGGTTGATTTCTTCCTGTTTATCAGCCTCTGTTTGGCAATAATAAATAATACATTATATTAATTTGGATGCTTCTCGATATTTCGAATGTGTTGATCTAGAAGAAGAGATCTTCTGACGCACAGCTGCCTCAAAAGACTTCCTTTATCCCAGGATACAAGCAAATTGGAAGAGTTCAGCACAGATTGAACCAGAGTACAGTAGTCAAGATAAAAATATAGTGGCCAATGACAGCCGCCCACCCAAGATTTTCTACGCAATAATAATGTATTTTTTCACTAAGTATTTTGAGATTCTCATGTATCTGATTAGGAGAATCTCGGTATAGGGACCTGTATAGATTCATTATAATAATTTTTCTACACAAGTACATACTGTACTAGCAGATTTCTTTCGATATGACACACACCCCGATTTGAAAATACATAAAATAAATGCATCGAAGGTCAATATAGCCATGTTTCAGCTATAGAAAAATGCATTCTGAACCGAATTCGTCCAGCAGAACTCGAACAGCAAAAACAGCTATCTGATAAAAATCGAGTTCTTCCACATGGTTTGATTTAAAACAACAACCAACGTAAAGTACTATAAAATGACTAAAAATCCTCTGAAACAATTGATACAATGCAACTTTAAAACATTAAATAACCTTTTTCAATTGACTCTTCCATTCTATGCAAGACAATTATTCAACTACTAAGACAGCATTTTTAGTTTTGCTTCACTGGAGTGAAAAAAAATCCCAAATGCGAATACAGTAAGAGTGCCTGTACCATGTGTGTCGTACAGTATTTAATATAGGCTGCAGAGTTGTGATTTAAACTTCAACACAGTGCAAACGAGTATAACATTATTAACACATGGTCGTACAAGGGTTTTAAAAAACGAATACAATTACCTATTGTATAACAGCAGGTAATTTTAATGCTGCTTTGACGCTTTAATTTTAGCGAGAAAGCGGAGCTTAGTTCAAAAAGCTCATCTCAAGCGTTGGAATGGAACGTCTGAACTTCATTTGAAGAATTTCGTTGAACGACGCCCGACTCGGAGACGATCTAAATTTTCTGTATCATGAAAATGCTTGAAAAAATTCAAAATATTTTTGTGGACCTCATCATTTTGAACAAGTCAACGCGGGTTCTATTCCAGTTTACCATCTATAAAATCCTATGCCTAAGCAAGGTGCGTCATCTACTGGGAAACCAGGTTACCATGTTTTCCCTCCGCGTAACTTCGGATCTTCTGCTTACCCGCGCTGTATAATGTAATGTATGATATCCGTGGAACGGCGGAATATATTCTCGATTGAAAACTTGATAAATTAAAATGAGAGACTGAGAAAAAAATTATTTAATTCCACGTTCAACAGCAATCTTCAATCGAGTTGGAGCGTAAAAAATGGTACGAAGTTACAAACTTTGCAATTTAGCTGAAGTCGAAGCTGTACCGAAAAAAAGTTTTAAAATTTTGAAAAACCGGACCTGATACTTCGAATCATACAAATCCGATGCATGGCGACTCTTGAAAATTGCAGGCAATCTTTGAAAGAGATTTTCTACGGATATGCAGTATTACTCGAAAATAACCCCGATCATTCGAAAATTCAACCAACTTAGCTTAAACTTCGATTCATATAATTATAAATAATCTTGCGAGTTTAAAATCGAGTGGATTATATTCGATACGCATTATTTCAAGTTATGTGAGAATTTCAGCTATCTTGTGTCATACTCGCAGCTTTAGCTGTTTGAATATTATTTTAGGTGCTGCATTCGTAGAAAGACACCTGGTCATCAGCCAGAGCAGAGTAATCGGAGTTAAAAACAAGGTACTGTATTTACTCAAATATAACATATTCAAGATGCACACTTGAAATGTTCAGCCTAAAATTTTGATAAAAATTTATCCACTGATAAGATGTGCACCCCATCTGAAGAGACTGACAATTTCAATATTTTTAAAACGAAATACGTGAGCTACTTGAGCACCCCTTGAGTGAGACACACACCCCAAATTTGCACCCTGAAAATTTTGATGAAATCCTATCCCCGAGAAAGATGTGCACCCCACATTTTATTCATGATTATTATATTCATGATTCGCAATATTGAGAAAAAAAAGATACACCAGAATTCCAATTTTAGCGTGAATTGAACTGGCAAATAGAATTGAATTTTCAATTGATCCGAATTTTTGAACTTTCCCGTCAGTGTTCAATTACAGTACTGTATATGCAAGTGTGACGTAAACCTAAACTTCTAACATTTTTTTTTTAATTGTATCCCTGCCTATATGACACACACTCCTTCCTCAATTTTCTCCCAATTTCGAGAAAAAATTTTCACTTGGAGCTTGAGTAAAAACAGTACAGTAAATCTGAATTTTAATTTTAACCTGAATTTTAGTCTAATTGAATGTTGATTTTACATCGTGTCCATTAAAAAATAAAATTATCTTGACATTGGATCACTTTTTTGTCGGAACCAATTAAAGTATGAATGATTAGGAGCGAAGCTTCAAAAAAGAAACACTTTTGCTCACCAACGAAGCCAACCCTCCTTTTTCCCGCAATAAATGTAACAAAATGGTTTGAATGGTACTTGAGCTGATGCACAGAGTTTGAAGATCGAACCAGCACGTAATGCTGGATTCACGTCTGACGTAGCTAGGCAGAAGTGAATTCAGCAATTGAATTCAGGCCCACCATTAAAAACTAAGCTTTCGCATAATGGGACTCAGAGTAGAGTGCACATCTCTCCGTACATTAGTATGTGCAAATGTAGGTAAGTAAAGTATTTAGATATGCCCGGCTGAGATATTTATATTCTGGTGGGAGGATTATTTCATCAGCCAACCTGATGAGAGGATCCTGGCTGCTCTGTGGCCCTCGGCTATATTGATTTCGGCTTGTTTCCTGCCCTGGGACTCCAATATCGCGGCCCTTTTCTTGCGTTCCGCCTCCACGATCATTACCATGGCCCTTTGAACCCCGCTCGGCAACCGAATATCTCCTGGAATGCGGTAGATAAAAAAAAAGAGAGGAAATGAACCTCGACAAAGACGTCGGAAACGAAGCCAATCTCAGTGCTTCACTTTCTCATCTATCCTGGGAAACTTTTCCGTTTTCTCATCACTTCCTCTCTTATTTTAGCATTGGTCGCGCGGATTTCGGCAAACATGCCATTCCCTGAACACTTACAAACGCAACCGAAGTTGAAAATACGGTAGTATTGGGAAAGGATACTGCGACGACACAATTAAATTACACAACCACACCAGCAGAAAGGCTAACAAAAAATGTTTCCTTTTTATAAACATTTTCAAGAGGCCGAAAAGGAATCATCGGTATCCGGTGGAAGCGAACGCGCGCTTTACTTTTTTCCCGGCGTAGCTTTCGATAATTTATGGCAGGTGTCACTCGCATCATATCAGAAACAGTCCTTTCCAACATAACTATCGACAGCTTAAACTCTTCGAATTTGACGATTCAATGCAACAAGCGTACAATATGTTAATCAAAATTATGTAAGTAATTATAAAAATTCAACGAGAATATAAGACAACCACTGCTGCATGTCACGCGGGAAAAACTCAAGAGTTGGGAATTTCGATGGTTCGCAAAAAATACTAACCTGCTGGTCCTTCATTATACTTTGACCTTTTAAAAAGGCTTGCTGCGTCCTTTAAAAGTAATTCTCTTTTGCATTGAAGCAATAATATTAAGATTTAAAATGGTAAAATTTCGTTTTTCTACAATTGACTACAATTTAGAAATAGTTAGGTCATCTCGATCTTGAAGCTGCCGGAATCATCAAATACAGTGAAATCTTGTTACAACGAAGCAAATCAGCGAATTAGCTTTGTCATGAAGAAAATTCGTTATAAGCGAACTAAAATAACATTCCAGCGAATTGGACAGAGATCTGAAGAACAAAATCGTTCTAATCGAATATTCGTTCTCGCAAGATAAGATTCTGCTTCATCACACAAAATCCTGTGTTAGCACAAACTTTTATTCACTTACTCGGTAATAAATTCGTGATATGACCAATGTTCTTGAAAATTTTACGCATACTAATCCAAATGTAAATTAAATCAAACAGCAATAAAAATGGTTCGATTAACATTTTAGATGTTACGTCGCTTTGGAGTTCTCTCAGGGAAGAAAAACAGACCACTACGCATTAAAAAAAAAGTTGTATTCACTTGAGGTCTAAAACAAAATAGACCAGAAAATATGAGCTCCACTCACGAATTTCATATCTCATGATCTGAACACCCCATGGATCCACTGCGTTACTCAAGGAATCCACGATTTTCGTGTTTAGATTCTCCCTTTCCCTGAACAAGTTATCCAAGGTTATTTTACCGATCTCCGACCTTCGAGTGTATAGACATAAAAAATTAAAAATATTATTCGAAATGACTGGAAAAAAGCAACAACAAAAAAAAGGGAACCTCATGGTTGTCATAGCGATTTGTTCGATAGCATAGTCGGGGTTCTTGACTCCGTACGAAGCCTTGTACGGGTCGCTGACTTTCATGTACAAGATTCCGTCAATGTCCAACATGACGTTGTCTGCACGAGAAAAACATCGACACAAATATTTCAAACGAGGATTTTAAGGGATTTATCTTGTCGATAACGATGTCACGATTAGTATTGGGGTAACTTTAAATACCTGCTGTGATGACCGGTTGGGATGGGATTCGCTTGGCAATTTCTTTTAGGGAAATTGTTCGCGAAATCTTGTCGGCAACTGGAACTATCACGTTCAAACCTGCGTCCAGGATCGAATGGAACTTTCCGAATCTTTCCACTATCCATTGCTGAAAATAAAATTAAGAACATTCAAGAGTTCAATGCTATAGAGCACTGGTCCCCGACCCGTGGTCCGCGGACCGGAGCCGGTCCGCAGAAATTTTTCGCTGGTCCACAGGAAAGGTTCATAATACCTGTACTGTACATTTATCAAAAGTAGAGGATTAAATCTTCCCTATCTGCACTTTTGGAAAGACAATTGCAGCTGAAATTATCTGATGAAAAAATGAAAGTTGACTTTTCTCCTAATGGCACTTTAGTCAAATTTTCACCTGCTGAAATAAATTACCGTATAATGTTTTTGTATCCTGAGAAATCTTTATTCTAGCCAACCTTTGCAATTGTTGAAGATATTCTAATATAATGCTGCTCCATTGGTTCTTAATTTTTGCAAAAAAGCAGAAACTTTTAATGCCTGCCACAAAGTCTTTCAAGCAGAACTTTTTTCAGTTTCCATTATTTTATGAAACTTTGCCAGTCCGCAGAGAATTTTGGGAAAATTTTCTGGGCACTTGAAAAATTTATGGATATTTGTCATTCTGTAGGCCCATTCAAATTACAGTGTGAGAGACGATTGTTTGTTCCATGAAAATCTGGCTGACAGCATTATTTCTCTTGTAATTTTTTTGACAGCCTTGAATTTCATGGGTTTCACTGTAATAGATTTTTAATTTTATCGTGCTTGCACCTTTCAGAAGGATAAAAAGTTCATGACCGCTTCACATAAAACATTTTCGACGGAGATAAAAATATACTAGTCCTTCAGAGTCATTGATGACTAATGCTCAGGGAACTTTAATTTTGAATCGTATAACTTCGAAAGCATGATGCAAAATGCAACGTGAAGTCTGAAAATATGAGTCTGCTAACATTCAGCGACTGGGGAAATTCCTAAGAAGGTCACTACGGCAATAACATAAATTCAAACCTGCATCATTTTTTACTTTCCTCAAGCCCTATTCATCTAGTATACCTTAACGCAACATGATCAGGCTATATGTAACAAAAACTAACACAATATCTAATTCTTATGCTGTTAAATTAATTCGTAGGGAAGCTAATATTATGGGATAGTTTGAATTTACTCAACTGATGAATTATTGAAAATTCAACATAGCAGCAAAAATCCCACCTGCATTTGAGGCACAAAGACGATTGCAGTGTTTATCTTAGGTCCACCAAAAATCGAATCTGAGTCTCCATGAAACGTTCTTTGTGACTGCGAATAACCCTGACCTTGTCCGTCGAAGTCTCTATCGTCAACTGCGTACATGCGTCTAGGCTGAAATCGAACGTTAAAATGCAAATTATAAAAACCAGGACAAAACCAGCGAAACGCTCACTAAAGATTGTAAATTCCGAATGATTCTTTCGTTCGATAAAAAACGGGAGCTAGTTCTCAAAGCATATTTCAAGGCCATGGCTTCCGAGGGTTCCCAATGAAGAACATCTGATTCAATTTCAAGCATCGAAATGAATCCCCGACGTTTTGAATAATACTGCAGTAAGACATAAGAGTATAAGAGAGTAAGTCGTAACGAGATTAATGAAGGTGTCGTTGACTGATAATGAATGCGAATCACAGTAGTGTGTGCAAATATTCAACCTCAGATTTATTTCAACCCACAAAAAAATGACATGAATAATAAAATGCCCGAACGGCAAGGAATTTAAAAAAAAGATTCCCAATTTTTTCTTCTTCACAAATCGTGTCTTGTGAGGTTGAAAACTTCCAGGTCCAAGTCGCAGACCAACTTGATGAGATACATACGCTCTTTGTCAATCGCCTCCTTTTTGTCTTCGGCCAAAAAACTAGCAAAAAATATAAATTTTTAAATACTAAGACAAAATCCTCAATTTCAAGCCGCACTCGTTCAGCAGGATGTCCATAAGAAACTCCTCAAACGTCTCGTCTTTGATGTAGGCAGCTAATTTCTTGATGGCGCACTGATGATTTAAAATGACATCCGTAATTTAATAATGACAGTTGACTGAAAACAACGAATTAATTACGTTAATTGACTTGACGATTGTTGGCCATTTGGAGCCCAGGATGTACAATGGGGCCTGAATCCTGGCTTCTTGCATTTCCGCGGAATTCAAGGCATTTCTCTGGGCGTTCGCCATTCCATCAGTTTCCCTGGTAGAAAGTCCAACAGGAAATCCGCTCTTGGGGTTGTAACCCAAGAACCTGGCTTTCTGAAACCCAATATGTCTGATTAAGAAAGGTCGTCAAATTTGTTCTTACGAAATAAACAACCATTCAGCCTAAGTGAATCATGCCGCAGAAAATCTAGAAATTTCTCTCGTGGTGGAAGCGGAACTCAAAATGCAAAAAAAAATTAAATAGCAATTGAAGGAATTTCCGATTAAACATGTCGAGTGAATGTTGCTAAAAGCTTCGTGGAAAGCAAACGAACATTATTTCGACCAAATTTAGCTTCTCAGAATGTTAAGTTACTTGAATTCAAGCAGTAGAACTGTATATGTTTTTCGAACTCTAAGATAAGTTTCTTGAAAACTAGCGGTTATTACACTCACTATAACACTCACACCAAAAACTAGACCAGACTTTCAAGATAGCTCAGGAAATTCAAGTTCAGAGTATTTTCGGAACATTTTTAAAAATTAAATGAAGATTCGACCCAATAGAAATTGAACGCTCTTGGCTTGAGAGATTTATAAAATTTCTTACAAACTGTCCGATCAAATCACACCAGTTGATGGCTGACAACCCGGTGGCATAAATTGCATCCTCCACTGCTTCATTCTGCACTCGCATCGTCTTCGCTTTGTCAACCCAGAACTTTTTCAGTCGAAGAATTTCTGCCTGATGACATCGAGATGAATCGGGGTATGATTTGCATCAAAAATCAAATATCCTCATCTATTTAGAATTTGTCGAAGCTCGGATATATCGACTATACAGTTCGGACTGTAGGGATTTATGCCTCATTGCGTAATCAATCTCAGCTGGAAGAAAAAAAAAAACCGGAGGTAGTTCATTGCAGATTAAATGTGGCCAGCTTTGTTTTGTTTGCTTAGGTCATAGTTAAAATTAGACGCTGTTAAATTTCAAGAATTATGTCGAGTGGCCATCTGAGGATACAAAGATATGGCAAAAGTTCATTCTCTGACGCGTAGATGTCGCTAGTAAGGAATTTCTTCCACACGAGGGATACCTTCGTGCAAACTACATGGCGACCTTATAAAGCATAAAACATCTTCAAATCTTCGAAGAACGAAGGCGTGCAAACATTACTTTTCAGGTCTTAAAAAATATTGAAAAAATCTCGGAAGTTGAAATAAAACTGAGTAACTTGAAACAGTTTTCTATGTTTTTTCATGGAAATCTCCCTGATTTTGAGAATTTTGAAAAGTTTTCATCCTACTTCCATTCCGATGTTCTCCGCCTTCTGCTGTAGTAACATGGCGGTCACCTGCTTGTCCATGCGGACCTTCAACGACAAACGAGAAAATCCGATTCATGGATGCAGAGAAAAACTCTGAAAATAAAAAATCGGTATACCAGTTCCTCCAGATCCCAGTCCATAGCGAAGGTTCAAATTTTAACCAGAGGAAGTAACTGATTAAGATACTGGTCAAATTGGGATTACTTTATGGAATAACGAAGTATTTTTCGGGAAACGCAGAGCAGATCCAACTGCTGTCGAGAAGCCGGTGAAGGCTCGACATTCCCATGATCTGCTCAATTTCTCTCGACAGAAAGTTAGTTCAAAACGCAATCTCAGAAGGGAGATAAAATGGAAAGGAAAAGAGTGAAATTGATTTTTCAATAAAATTATTCGATGAAATATGGTAGGAATATTAGCCTCTATTAGTCAAACCTCCCGAAGTCAAAACCTCCTTGTTTCAATTTTCTAACCCTGTCTGCAAAATTCCTTTAGAGAATAAGATGAACCTTAACTCGCAGACTTCCCTTCTCAAACATCTACATCTTAATTTTCTATAAATAACCTTTGGGTTGCATTATTCTGGTAGTTAAGAAAAAAATGTGATGATGCGATTCGAAAAGACTTGAGCGACTAATAGATCAAATTAATCCTCACGTCGAAGTTCTGCATCCTCCTATATGATTCCTAACTCATTTATTATAAAGTTTAAGGTTCAAAAGATGAACATTCTTTAGTTACCTGAAATTTCGGCTTCATGAATCCGACGACAAAGTATGTTTCACTATTTCGAAACCATTTTAAATTAAAGCTCTTACTGCATGGTCCCTTGAATTTTGACTCACAGGTTCAACTGCATTATTAAATTCTTCCAAAAATGGCGATTCGAATCAGAATCCAAGTTGATTCCATGCCAGTTTGTGACGTGCTGGAAAAATCGACACCTATGCTTTTTTGAATAACAATGAGTATGATGAGATTTTTCTATGCAAGAAAAATTTTTACAAAAAGCGTTGGGGAAATATCGTAAATTATAATTAATTTCATTGTAAAAGATGGGCGATGGAGGATGATCCACTCAAAATCTGTAGGGATTTGTCCGTCTGTTGATGTCACATTCGCATACTGCAACTGCAATCACTTTTGTGCGTCAATTATTTAATTTATAATTTTATCGAATGCCATAAAAACGTTCAACTGAACATTATTCAAGCTACCAAAACCTTTCTGGCCTTCAATTTAATTTCAGGATCTCGGATTTTTAAAATTCCTTCAGCACTATATGATGGAGAATAATTCCTACATGACCTTGCTGAGAACTCAATTTTTCATCGGCTGAGTTTTTCAATATCATTCAAAGCGATTAAAATTTGGATCGGAAGTGAATTTTTAAATGCTGGATGCCAAACTTGAACCTGACAGTCAATTCAGATGTTTTCGTCTGACATCAACAATAAGAAAATATACTTCAAGGTGAAACAATAATGCGTAGAATGACTGTCCAACCACAAGAAGAAAATTCCCACAAAAATGTTAAAAATCCGACGGCACTCCACATCGGTTTTGTGGAATTCTGCTGAAAACACCCATTGCTGGATCGCTGTCTGCAAAATAATTTCGGGAGAATGAATTGCACACGGATCCGTCTCCAAGCGATCCTGGCTGTTTCCCGTTGGGGTCGACAGTGTTTAGCAAAACTTTGTGCAATTCCTTTAAACTTGTTGTCAATTGCTCCGACTGATTCAGCACCGTGCAGATGAACCTTAACCGACGAAAGCAACTATTTTTGAATACTTTTACGAAACATTCGGCCATCTAAAGATTCAGAATCCGATTTAAAAAAAAGAAAGAAACCGTTATTTATCATCCAGGGAAATTTCGAACTGAGTGACGCGCGGCAGTAAAATATTTTCTCCTTTATAGTAGCAGAAACATCGTCTCGCTGTGTTCATTTTAATTTTTGTGCGTGTCAAAATGCAATTTCCTGAAAAGGATTGTTGTTCAAATAAAATTTAACTCACGACTGGATATTGCGAAACATGGGAACTCGTCGTGTTTGGAATACAGTCTTGAGATCAGAATATATGTCCGATGGTTTCTTGGTCACGTTGCGGATCATGGCTTCCAAGATCAAGCTCACTCCTGTGGGTGGCTCCGAATCCGACCCGAGAGAACCCCAGCATTTCACTACTTCATCAATCGTTTTCTAAAAAATGAGATTATCAATATAAATAAGCAAATTTATGAATACAGTGAGACTCCGAGATGTGGACGTAAATTGATTGTGCTTGGACCTTATTGTCCCTACGCTGTTGGATCGGCCACAGGTTGGATAACGTTTCACATAGAATAATTCAAGTTATTGGTTCTCATGTTCACACAAAATAGGAAAAAGGTGCCTCAAAAAATTGAAAAAATTGTATTCCTCAACTTCAAGATACAGTGAACAACTTTGCATAAGAAAACCACGTGCAATCTGATCTTTTGTCATTAAAAGAAGTTCAAAAAACGAAGAACAAGAACACGTCTCGCTATATTGTTCTCAGATGATAGGAGAAACGCTGAAAAGTAAAGCACAAAATCGGTCTATTTTCGATTATAAATTAGAGTAAATCTATAGCGAAATCTATTTTCAATTTTTTTAAATATAAATATTGTAGCTCAGCAATTTGTCCAAAAGATACTGTATCAAAGTGTGAAAATAAGATGTTAAAATTTTTTGGGTAAGTGTTCCTGTATCTTGAGCCTCTTTTTGTTTCCCATGGAATATTTTGTTTCAAGAGTTCCTAAGTCGAATTGTCAGTATATCGAAGCTTCATCCTTTCGGTCTTTCACTGCACAGTATATTGTAACCTCATCACTCCAAAACCCGAAAAAAATTGCAGGATAAAAGAAAGAATGTATTTTTCACTGGCCACGCACCAAAACTTTCCTAGCCAATTCTGAACTCTTGGACGATTGATTTTCACATAATGTATACTGAATTTAAAATACGAAACAAAATAAATACATGTATTTCGAAAATGAAATCAGATTCATCTGCGCGAAGGACTCATATTCGTATGAACACCGGCCATGACACGCCAATATATTTATGCGCAAAAAAAAAATCAGATCATCAGAAAGGGATCTAGAAGAAAATCATTCATTCACTGAAGGCAAAGGCATCATTGATCCTAACATGTTCAATTTCCTTCCCTGTGTTAACTTTCATTGATGCTTTCTTCAAGAAACTTTCGGAAGTCCGCAGAATATCATTCTCATACAGTATCAATATGTCATGACAATTTTTCCTAGAAATGGAATCGAGCGTTAATTATAAAATTAAGAAAGAAAAACCCCTCCACACCCAGCAGTGCGGCATGTAGCAGGTATTTTTTTTTTCCTAAGTCTTCATACAAAGACGTTGGGTCAAATGCAACGTAAATATAATGCCCCAAGCCAAGGCACCGAGCTAAAGTAACTTTAAATGTTGGTTTCATGCAAATATCCCCACCCCCCTTCCCCCTCAAATACAATGCTGAGGCCAACACTGGCCAACATTGACCCGGATGCTCGATGTGATCTACGAGGTGATCTCCGCATGTCCAAGTCCAAGTCGCCGGAGAATAGGCGTCATCTATTCTAACTCGGCATAATTCATCACCGGCGCATCTCGGCCTTGTGCTAAGGCTGACCTTTTTCACCGCTATGACTAAGCTTTCCATTAATATCACGTCAGCTTCGGAACGAGAATATATAAATTAAAAAATTAAATTAAAATTAGAGGAAACAAGGTACACCAGAATTGAAAAAGTTGAGCTCTTTTGAGAATCATTGATAGAATTCGTGATGGAGTGGAACCCGAAGAGGTGTTAGACACTTATTTGGGCACGTTTTGAATTTTTCTCATCAGTGAGGATCGTGCTGATGATGATTCAGTTATTCAGTTGGCATCGATCAATTCAATAACTTGAACTTTTATTTTTACAGTTACGAAGAGGATCGTTACAACTAATCTCGTCGTGACGAAAAATCGATAACAATGAAGCAATTTTTCAGGTTCCTGTAAAATAGCCACAAATTTATACGAGATAATTCATGAAGAATTGTTGGCTATACCACGAAGCTATTCCAGCTATTCCAGTGGTCCCAATGTTTTCGTTTTAACGAGATTTTGCTGCATTTCACAAATTTTTATTATGATTTCAGAGCGAGTTTAGGACGACCGTGAATAACGGATGCTCACAAATACTAAAAAATACTGGAATTTCTTACGTAAAAGTGCAATGGTTTCCTTAGAAATTTGCCAATCAATAGCTATTCCACGAAACGGGCATAAAATATAAGCAAATTAGCTCAATTTTAAAATTTACAGGAAAAATTTGGAAAATTCGGTCTAAAGATAAATCCACGCTCATATTTCAAGAAGACCCAAATCAATATTCACAATTCGGGAATAAAATAGAGGATACTGAAATCTACCAAATAAATCCAGCTTTCATGAACAATTTTTCTAACAGCAAGTAAGTGCTGCCTCATAATCGCATGACCAAATCATTGAATCATTCTTTTACTTGAAAAATATCAACAATTTCGAGAATTAAACGGAATTCCAGAGATGACATAAAATGGAAAACCAAGATATCTCATTATGAAGTTAAGGAGAAAACGAATCTACGCGACAATGAGGTATACGAATTTATTAAAATCATAGAAGAGTCGACGTTCTTCCAGAAATTGGCGAGAAAGCAATAATGTGAAAACGCGCAATTCAAAGATTCAGGTACAGGCGAGAAATTGACGCAGTGGACAGTCCCATGTCATCATTTGAGGGGAATGGAATTATTGGCAGAAAATATATTTTTCAGTTCATTCCGAATTCTCAATTCACATACAGTAGTTTGTGGTAGTGGAATCTTGATTAAGTTTGCCATAGGAAATTGAATTTTAGCATCATGCAGATCAACTTCTTTCGTGCGGGCGTTTGGAAATGAGCAAAATCGCGGAATTTACCATATTAATAACTTCTGAATGTCCAGGACTCTCTTTGTTTCCAGTCATCATAGAAGGTGATAATACGGATGAACTCATATGATAAATGCTTAGTCATTCTCTGGAGGTATTTTTTTTTACCAGCCTGAAAATTAAAACACTATCAACTTAATCCCTGCTATTCAAGATAATGAAATCTAATTAATCTATATACTGGTGAAGCTACATGGAGGAATTGCAAAAAAATTCGAAGAAAGTGTTCGGTTTAAGTACATTTGAAATTGCTAATTTTCCAGGTAAATTTTTTGGAGTGACCAAATCTTTTGATCACCTGAAGACATTTTTTGTATTCTTCGACTTCTTGGAATGCGTCGCATGTGCACTTGTATATAAGAAAGCGTCGCCGAAGAGTGACTATTCAGTATTCGAAGACTTGACTTTCACACGCAATATGCAAAATACGCAAATGTTGAAAGAAATGCACTTACAAACGTGAGCTGAACAAATTCCTGGAGTCGGTCAGCTCGACAAGCCTTCATTTGAATGGCGTCCCTGGCTTTGTTAGATGTTGCAAGCAATCTTTTCCCAGCCTTGACCTTCTTAAAATACGCTTCCATCTTCATGCCTTGTATCTTCCGAAGAATGGAGAGAATCGTTCCGGTTTCGATCAAAAGGACGGTTTCATTCAAAAATTTTACAAACCGGTGTCAAACGGTTGAGTTGGTAGGTGATCAGTTCTTCGAGTTCCCGCTGCTGTCGGAGTCGGTGAAGCCATTCCTTTCTGGAAACTTCGAAGCCGTCGAATTGGGAGACAATGCCTGGATCGGTCGATGTCTTTCAAAGAACAAATTTTACATTCTCTTTAGGTAAAAATGTCGTATAAAATGCACTTTTCCCGAAAATCGACAGAAGGACTAGTCTATGCTCTACTTTTATTAATCAAGAAATGTTTCTTATTTGAAATCCCGAGATCCTTTCTTCGAAACGCCTCCTGAAAAAAAAATTTCTCACGATTTTAAAATTGGTACTATGTAAAGAATGTAAATTTACAGTTTTCCGATTGGTAAGCATGACGACACTATTTCCAGTGAGGTGAAAAAGAATCTTTTGTGAAAATGAACATAGGCATGATTTAATTTTTTGATGATAACTTGATGTTACCAAGAAAGACTATAATACTAAAAATAGAAAATGACTTCCTTTCAAATCTGTGGCAGAGATGTCGACATTCAGATGAGATAAACGAAAATAAATATTCCGTATTACTCCGGAATTTGTTGAAAAAAAATCAAGACAAGGAAAAATTAGGTTAACAGCTAATTCTAACTTTTTAAATAACCGAGGAGATTTTTAATCCATTATACTCCAATTTTTCTTCAGTTTATTCATTTTCTTAAAAACGCACCATTGATCAAGCCCATGCGATTTTCAGGAAGGTACAATACTGTACTACAGATTTTGAACTTGATCTTCGATATCAACTGATCAAAACGCTTTCTTCTTATAGTAAGCGCGAAATAAGCTCACATTAAAATTTCCAAATTTTCTGCAGGAAGATTTTTCCTGCGTTGAATGACTGCCGATGTTGAAACTTACATTAATAAAATTTAAAGCATTATTTAGTGAGTGAATATGAGGACTGCCGACTTCAACGCCGGACGTAGATTTCGTGAATGTCATGTAGATGTCGCGAGTATATCGAAGCTAAACGAGACTCTCCCGGCAGAATCAGAAATTAGGTAATTAGTCAGTTACGAATCTTACGATGACCTAGCTTGTTCTGATCAAGTTTAACCTGCCTAGAAATATACTGTACTTAGCTTTAAATGACGAAACCAAAGCCACAGTAATTTAGGAAAACGAAAACACAGAAAAATGCTATAACGAAAAGCGTCGCGTGACGTCTAATCGTACATCAATCTCAAAGAAAATTGACCGAGGGCTGGAATTTGGACAAAGAACTTGCTATATACAGTACATAAGATGTCGAAAAATACATGCTGGAAACTCACGTCTTCAAGATTACGCAGCCAAAAGAAGAACTTCTCGTTAACCTCGTCAGTGAATTTCTCAATCAGTTGCATTTCTTGTAGCAAGTACGTTCGTCCACTGACGTACTTGAGTACTTCATGTGCCCTGACATCTTCATCAAGTTGTTCCAACAAAGTTATGACTGCTGCCAGTGTCCTGAGAAATTAGCATCCACAACAGATTGTGAAACCACTCAAGCTGACACACTTGTGTCAAACGAACCTCGCAGATACCAGAGATGCGTAGAAATCAACCCATGGCTCGTCTTCGAAAGAAATTTCTGCTCTCACTCGGTCCCTTGTTGCCCCGTGGACGAAGGCGTCACCTGGTTTCAAGCGAGCGACACCTGGACGAACAGTGAGTGACATATCATGAATCAGGTCCTGAGCATTTGGGGTTTCTCCATAATGCAGCGCCAAAGCCTCTTCCGCAGACTTCAAACTAGCCGAAAAGCTCTGGTATAAGGGAGGAAGATCAAATGCAGTACAAGTGTACTGTACTGCACATTGGTCACTGGCAGTTTTTGTGGCACTAAAGTTGAGTGGCATGACATTCATTGTACAGTATACAGCAGTGTTCCCCAGCTTTTTGAGCCGACAGACCAGCAAAGCTCCATAAAAATTCTTCTGCAGACAGGCAAATTCTCAAAATATTTTCTGCAGACTGAAAAAGTTTCAAACAAATCCAAAATTTTAAAGTTTTGTTTGAAAGACTTTGTGGCAGGTACTGTATTTAAAAGTTTTTGGTTTTTTTTGCAAAAATTAAGTCAAGGACCAATGAAGCAGTTACATTAGAATGTTTTTAAAAAATTATGAAGGTGGGCCTGAAGAAATGGTTCTTAGAATAAAGAATTAACACAAATTATTTCAGCAGGTGACAATTTGTCTGAGGCATTTTTTGGAGAAAAGCACACTAACATACAGTATTTCAATTGATAGCTTCAACTTCCATTGTCTTCCCTACATTTCAAATGAAGGTAACAGTCTTCAATGCTAATACTTTTCATGAATTAATTGTACTGAAGAAAATTTTCTGTTGACCACCAAACAAATTTTATGGGCTGGTGTCAGTCTGCACTCTGCAGACCATGAGGCAGGGAACACTGGTACATAAAATACAAAGTCCTTCTGGGTAAATATACCATATCATGAAATAACAAATGTAATAAAAAATGGCTTGGGCAAAGTGCGAAATTCGGCATTGTGTCAAAGGAATAATTAAATAATTAACAGAGAATCGGAAAAATCCAAATTATTTGGCATTGGAATTTCATCAAAAAGGAAAGCCTTGTGTACCACTGCTCGTATTTCTTTTGCTGCCATCAATACAGTAATGTATGCCTTTCCTTCCAGTAAACAGTATGCTAAAAAGACTATTCCTCTTTTTCAAGGAACAGACGGGTATAAATGAATGAATAATTTTGGAAGCAAATATTCTGCCACATACATACTTCTCATTGCAATTTTCAAGGCAAACAGCACATTATTAGAAATGCTAGTTCAATATAAGAGAAGTAGTGTACACTGTAATCTTCATAATTTCATCAGAGTGAATTCTTAGAAATCATGACAGGTTTCACATTTTATGTTGAAGAATCACTTCAAAGACAAATTATCCGTTTCAAACACAGTTTCAATGAATCATGCATTGAAATGTTGAAAACCACGAGTCTCAATACAAAAGACACCTCATCAAAGCATTTTTTTTTACTGAAGTCCCTATGATTTTGTTGCAATGATGTTTTACTGCATAGGTATGCATTTTATTTTATTTATGCAATATCTCAGGTAAGAACTCACCTGATCAGCCGCCGGTTCACCGCCTCTCCTGTTCTTGAGGATCGTCTTCCGGACTTCCAGGCACGGAATCAAGTGCGCATTTTTCTTCAGTCACAGGAAAGAAACAGCATGCGGATTGAGGTCAGAATCTTTCGCCAAATTGCAGCGGGGGAAACAAACGAAGAAAGGAACAGAAAAAAAACGCCCATCCTCACTTTCACACTCGGCACGCATCTATTCGGTGGAGGCACATAATCCCGGTCGCACGGGTCGTAAAGCGGGGAAGCCGCATGTTGGCCGATCTCCAGATCGCACGGTGAACAAGAAAAGCCTTGGTGTAATCGGCGCTGAAATATATATAAAAAAAAAACAGGAATGTACGTGAAAAATATGAACTGCGGTATGCGGTCGAAATCATCCTCGGGCCCATTCACTGAATTCAGCAAAATTCTGTTGGAATGTCCAGTAAGAGAAGGAAACCAAGCCACAATTCGGACCGACTAACCTGGATTTCGCTCTCAACCAATCTGTCAACTTCCGTCAGTGCGCATGCGCAAACGTTCTCGAGGGGATTCGCCGGAATTGGTGGATCCGGAAATCCGGAACTTTTTCCAAATAAGAATAAAGAAATACAGTGCATATAAGACTTTCCAGAGAATGGAGATTGAAGATGAAAAAAATTTCCTTTCGGAAAAATAGCAGCATCGGATTCTTAAACATTCATCAGGTTACAATTTGAAGAAAGAGCAGTTCTTTTCACATTTCAGAAAGATCAATCCAAATTTTCCACGAGCCAAAGACAAATTTTTTCTCCTCTGGGAATGCGCCGTTCGAGTCTTTCTCGAGTTCCCAAAAGACCAAGTCTAGCTTGTAGAAATTGATGCCAGGAAATTATTCAGTTTTTTTGTTTTTGAAGATGGCTCGGGGCTAGGGAAAATCTTCCAGTGAATTTCATGGCCTCAAACACACACCGCGAGAAAATAAATCTTTCCCCATACTATTTTAATGTAAACCATCCCCATTGTTAGCTGGGCATGAAAAACTAAATAATTATAATGCTGTACGCTTCAGAAAGGCAGGGATCGCGTGTTGTTTAAAATCCATTTCCAATTAATACCTGACGAATGCACGGAATGATGTGAGAAAACTTAGAAGATATATCTTTAGATTTCACAGCCCCGAAGTTTACTTATTGTTTCAGGTCTACCAAGGCAAACATTCCAAATTCCTCCGATCCCTCGCTATATTATTCGAAAATTGAGAAACCCAATACAGTAATACCCAAAACTTCGCACAGGTATATGCCATAAAATCGGTGAATGATGAGTTCAAAAATATAAACAAGCATAATTTTCATAGGGAATCTTGTTATAATTTCGTTGCCACCTTACTTGAATACATTAAAATCTTGTTACGACGAACTTCCACGGATCAGACAATAATTTGTTATTAAAAATTTCTTGTATCGACAATTCGACATACATGTTTTCTAACACATTTCAGGCTGGGATTTTGTGGGAAATGAGCAATAAAACCCCAACCTGGTAAAACCCTATGTAGCATTCTTTTTAACATATTGTACTACAGTATTCTTGTTAAAATAAATGAATGCATTCCAAAATGGAGTTGAAATATTTTAGAGAAATATGCCACACTTTTTCAATTTTTGAACGCTGCATGTTGTCCTCAGAAGGTTCTGCTTTTTATTCTACGAAATTAAAATGCTACACCAGGAAAAATTTTTCCCCATTTTGTTGCCATTTGTCAAAGAATTTCAATGGTCTATAGACACAGAATCAAGGCCAAAATCTTGATATACTGATATTACAGCTTAAAATGAGTTCATTACAATGAGATTTTAATGAGATCGCACGTACAGAGAAACTGAAATGAAAAAATACGTTATAAATGAAAAATTCCTTGTAACGAAATTTTACTAAGTCTACCCCCATCAGAAGGCACGAACAGATTTCAAACGGTGCAACAATAAAAAAGGTTTCCCCGTATGAAAGAACAAACCAGAAACGTTCAGCCATGATTCAGCGGCAGAGGGACCTTGTGAAGGCCGCATTGGGTCAGCGGAAACGTGGGTCGGGCGAAGGTTTTTCTCTGCGAGGAGAAAACGTGTATCGAAGACAGAACCCCGAACTGAGTAAATAAGGCGTGGTAACGAACGGATTAAAACGGCATTAAAAGGCGTCCGTACAACACGCACGGTGTGTTGTTTGCACGCGTCCTCGGCCTCACGCCAGGTCAGTGAAGGTTGCCTCTCGTCGGTTGCTGACGTTCCATGGGTGACTTGAACAAGCACATACTGTGATCACTTCATGCCTGCCAACTTTTCGAAACAGTCTGATCTGCATTACAGTATTGTTTTTGCAGATGCCGGTGAAAAGCCACTGCTCTTGAAATTAAGCATTTGTATCAGAACTCTTCTTGGAATGAACGGTTGCTCTCAAGGATCCTTCATCTAAACGCAGTCGCTATGATATAATTAGTCTTCGGGAAAATCTTCCACGGAAGAGAAAATTACTACAGTATTCGATAGCGATGCTTGAACGAAAAAGAACATCGCCAAATTTCCCCACGTCAGCCTTCAAGCAGTCCAGTGACACAAAGAAAATGGATCACACAGTAAGTATTTCATACAGCATGTTCTCATATTTGCAAGGGCTATATAATAAATAGTCGACAGACCCTTGAGAGAAAATATGTGTGTATTTTAAAGACTCGTTTGAGGAATAAGAAAGGCTGATATCTAACTAAAATTATTGCAGGTGAAATACGAGTATTATTTTTGGCACAACAGCATTTGCCACATTATTTCCTAAAAGACATGCTTCAATTGGAATAATGCAGATCAAAAATTGCATAAACAGATTGAATAAAGTTTCGAGGACAGTCTTATCATCATCTACGAAACACAGAAAAGCATGGAAAATTGGAGAGATCTCAACAAGCAATGAAATTCGTATCAAGTAAGCACTTTGTTACATCAATTTCAGAGACCCTGTACAATTTCTCGGTGCCTGGAAGAGAAATTCGACATTTTAGAATTATTATTCACAGCAAATAATTGAGTCAAATTTTGAAAATCATTAGGATGATTTAATTATGTATCAGTCCGCCATCCGTCATTTTGAAAAAACATCAATATTTTTTCAAAAAATTTTCCAATTTAAATTAATTTCCCAAGCGCAGACTTCGAGCTTCAGTTTTAAAGAGACGAACATTTTTTATTTTCCTCTTGCTGGCGTAAAAAACAAATTGCAGTTTTGTGATTGATGCAAGGATTTCGCCACAGTACTTATTTTTGTCTTCCCATTTTCTTCCGTGGCGTGATTTGATAATTATGCATTGAATGCAAAACTTCATAAAATACTTAAATTTCAGCTTAAATTCAAAAGCGCCAAAAAGTTTCATCTGCCTCTGGAGCAAGTGCAAAAAACAAATTGCAGTCGTGTGATTGACGCAAGAATTTTTTCTCATTATATCACATTGTTTCCTTCATCTTCCATATTGATGCAATGATGATGCAAACAATATTAAAATTTCGAGAAATTCTTGCATTTTTGCAAGCCTAGAAGCAGACAAATCACACTGCTGCAAATAAAAATTTCAAGCTACGTGCAAATGAGCAACGTAATTTTGTCATGGTAGACTGGGAGATAAATTTTGGCCTTATTTGCCAAAATTTGTCGCATTTTGCGATTTCTATGGGAATATGGTGAAACCCAAGCTGAGGAGAACTCTCTTCTCTCACCTTGAAGGACATATATTTTGTATCTTTTTTCCTTTTTTTTAAAGGAAAAAATATCTGTTGCCAAGTAATTTGAATCCTGAAGCTTGAGGTCATCTTTGACCAGCAGAACTCTTCCATCATTGAAGGATAGTATTCCTGAAATCCTTTTTTTCCCTCCTAGACTTCACTTATTGCCAGTTAGAATGGACCTGGACAAGAACTCGAAACACCGAGTCAAAACAGAGCCAGGGTATTTTCAGAAGCACGCTCTTGATTCGATTTACTCACGCTTGCACTCGCTCAACGAATACCGTAATTTCGGAGCGTGTTTTGCAGCTGCATTCGGCCTGTTATACACCACAGGCGTCCAAGCAATATCCGAAAGTTGAGCTCCGCGGATGGACATGAGCCCCACGGATTCCTTGGCGTGAAAAGGCGGTCACGCGCGTGATTGATGGCGGCTCGCGACGCCGAAATAAAACAGAGATGAAGTCTCGATCTTGGTATTCCCTGGAGAAAAAAAAAATCATTTTCATCTCACGAAACATAATAGAAAATTTTTCTGAACAAAAATCTACGGAAGGCTTCCTGAAACTCGTTTACTCGCACCTATTATACAATGCAAGCTTCCAAGTTGATCGGAAACTGCCACGCAGGATGGATGAGTCAGTTGTTATGCCAAAAAAAATGGATTTTTAGGTCCTGAAGCTTTCATTTTTCTAAAGTGAAATCTACGCAATGCTTCCTGAGGCTCGTTTTTATATTTTTGATTGATTGATTGACAATAAAAAAGCTTCCAAAACGACAAAAAGCCACCAATAAGTTGACCGGAAACTTCAGCGAGGGATGGAGTCTCTTGGTATGCCATAAAAAATTCGAGTTTGAACTTCTCAAAGCTTTTTTTTTTTATGTTAGTAAAATCTACACGAATAAGCTTTCTGAGACTCATTCTTACACGTTTTCCATCAGATATGAGCTCCTTTATAGAAGCTTCGAAGATATAGAAAACTGCAAGCGTTGATTTATTTCGAAAATAAAAACGATGGGCGATGCCAAATCGGTTTTCAGAGTTAAACTGGAAAAGCCTATTTTTCAATAAAACACGCAAGGGAAACTGCTCTTTAAAATCGTCAGAAGGTTCTTCCTGACTTATTTCCATAAAAAGCATAATTTGAACGAAACGACAGAGTATTTATTAATACAAAGAAAATCACTTCTTCGACAGATGCGAATATTCATCAAAGCGAGGATTCTCTCGAATTTAAATTTTTCTAAGGTGTAGTACAGAACTTCGAGACATTCTAATTTTCAAATTGAGAATCATGAACTTTCCTTATTTGAAAGTTCTATAGAAACGAATTCCTTGATTCGATTTCTTTTTTCATGCCCAACAAATATTCGTTCAACCGCTTTCAAGTTGAAAGACAGGTTTGACAAAATATTATTCACTTCGCCCCTAGAACAAAATATACTTCGCCAGTAAATAAAAAGTTCCTATCAGCAAGAATTTCGGATAAACTCCTTCCAAGCATGCAATTTATGAACTTCACACTTTTGCCTCGTAAAAGTACGGAATGTGCAAAGGCGGCCTTTCAATCAAAATGCCGCTAAAAAGGGAAATATGCGCGAATATTTTCGAAAAACGTGTCCCACACTGAAGTCGGTACTTAAAGATTCAAAGCACGTCACTGTCTCGAATTGAGAGTCAGATAATTGCTCGGCACGTCGTTATCCCGTTAGGTCACAAAAATGAGGAAATAACCGAATTCCTGCATGACGTCTATTCTCGCTTATTCTCGCTCAAACATTTAAAATACTTTGGCATTAAATCTAAATAATTCAACGACCTTCTTTTAAAACATATAGTAAACTTTGGAAAATGAACCGTGTGCCATATTCTCTCACTCCGCACATAGTCACTTATTGAACCGATAAACATGGATATAATTTGAGATGTAATTTAATAAGCTTTGGTATAACCTGAAAGCTTTTAAAATTAAAGCATTTGTTTCTTCAGAATACAGATGGACTCTTAACAACGGAATTCTCTTACCACGTATTTTCTCATGGTCCCTAGAATTTCGTTGAATTTCGTCAATAAGGGAGCAGGAAAAAATCGCTGAATTTCTTCTAAATTTTGTTACATTTCTTGACTTTTACCTACTCTGTATTCAGGGTATCCAAAGAGATCGTGAACTTGGGACAATGCTGAATATTTTACCTTCTCCAAATTTGTAAATTGAAAAAATTGAACGCATACGGACCAGGATCAAAATTAGTGGGGAATAGGGTAAAAAAATATGAAAAGAATTGTTCGAAGAAGCAAATCTAAAAAGATCAATATCAATGCCATAAATAATTTTTTGACATGCAATAAGTATAGAATTCAAGCGGCAATCTTCATAAGCTACACAATAACCATGATTTGTGCACAAATTGCGGGTAAAAGCCTGATGGAATCTCAGACGACTCAGTGTAAAATGTATCCACGCTGAGGTGATTGGCATGCAAAAATCGAAGCTCAGACGCAACTAGACTTTTTTTTTGCACGAGAAGGAAGAGCGAGAGAAAGACAAATTGCCCCACATTCTGGTAAAGAAATTAGGCACAAACTTGATGGAAGGAATTACCTCTGCTATCCTTTGTGAAAGTCTTCATAGCTTATAGGATTTTGAAAGGAGGAACTGCTGCGTTCGTGTCTCACGGTGATTGAAATGAAGCTTAGCTTGACTTCTATGGGGGCCTCCTGCCATCAAAAGTAGCTTGGCCGTGTTTCAGCTGATCCTCGGTTCCTTCATAAATTGGCCACTTTCCTTTCAAGCCTCTATTTTTTATTTGTTCCTCTTTCACACAAATCCTTCATGGCTTCGCCCGCATAAAGTTGAAGTAGTGTATTGATATGCGATTGATATTTGCATTGAACCACACACAAAGCATGCATATTTGAAATTGATAAAATACTGAGTTTTATGGGCTTAGTCGCTAATTGATGCGTACATTAGCTCTGCATGTACATTTAAAAAATTTAGAAGCAAATTTGAATTATTGCATTCACTTGAGTATTCCACATGCACCTTTTTTAAAGAATTGAAATGAAAATAGAGGATGGACATCGTACGTAGGAATAAAATTACCACATTTTTTTTAGAAGTTTAGCTTAGTCCAAGCTAAAATGTATAATCAGATTTTCAACACCAATTTTGACAGAAACTTTCAAAATCAAAGACGTTGCAATTTAATTGAATGGAGTTTGAATTCATGTTCAAACTTTAATTCCGGTGCCTCATATATTTGAAATATAGTATTGGAGCTTTTCAATCACTAAAAATGTCTTATTCATCAGGGACAGGATAACACCAAAATTGTAGGATGAAAAAACCGGGTACATGACTCACTTGAGGGCACATGGTCGACACGGTACAGTACTTAAATAAGCATGATTCTGTGCATATTTGTATACCATTGACAAATGCATTACAATCATGAATGCTTGATTGTAATCGTCAAAATACTGACCTTTCAATGAGGAATTACGAAGGTAAGTTTTTGAGCAGCACCTACAGATAGTAAAAATTTTTCTCAATGCCAATCCGATATTATTGATTAAAAAATTAACGACATAAATAGTGAGGTCATGCGGTCGACAAAATTTTCCTCTCATAAAAATTAAACGAAAATAAAATGAATTTCCTCGACGATTGGTAAAGAATATAAATTAAACAATCCGAACCTTAATAAATGCTGCGCATGCACCATTAACGTTAAATGCACCCCTAAATAAGAAATGCTCGACAAAAAAATTGATCCATATAATTTGAATTGCAACATTTATATTCATAATTCTTCTCAAACCCAGTCCGCATTGGATTAAAAAAAATTAACGAAAGAAATATATTGGGGCCATACGTTCAAGAAAAGTTCCCTCTCGTCCAAATACTGTACAGCGAAAAGAAAATGAATTTTCTCAATGATTGGCAAGGAATATAAATGAATTATTCCGAACCTCAATAAATGCGGTAAATGCCAAAATGACAGTGGTATATACACCCTGACTTGAAGTAATGCTTGACAAAAACACTGATTTTTATATATCATTTGAATTGCGCTATTGACTTTTCCAAGAAGAATTTATATCCTCAATTCTTGAAAAACCCAGTCCGACATTGATTAACAGATTAACGCTAGCAATGTTGTTGAGGCCGCGTCCGTTCGATAAAAGTTTCCGCTCATTACAAATACTGTACTGCTGTGTACACAGAACGAAAAAAAAATGAAAAATTTTCTCGACGATTCGCAAGGAATATAAATGAAACAATCCGGACCCGAAATTGCATTCTTTACCCTGCTCGTGCCAAAAAACGATCGGCGCTTTCACGCGAGATAAGCACACGTTTGGACTGCGGGCAATAAGGACCCCATCAGAGAGGCAAATTAACATACCGATGGAAACGACGGGCTGCTGCTGCTCGGCATCTCACTGCTGCTTCTGACCCTGCACGAAGTCAGTCCCTGTCAGTCTGGTTGATCCATGCCGACCTTCGTCCTCCGACTGCCGGAGAAACCCCGCAGTCGGAACCCACAAAACGGGCTTCCAAACAACGCCTTGAGCCTGACCCACTTTTACCTACGACCACGGAAACGCGTTTATGGCTTTTCGCATGTGCCTCCGATCAACCTTTGCGGGACAATTTATGGCAGTCTGTTCAAAGTCACGGGACGCGATTGTTTCTCGCTCTGATGCACTAGAAACCATGGTACAGTATACAGTTCATTCTTCTGTGTAATTTTCCCTTCCCATGACGATTGTCTGCAGCTAAAAGAAACTGCAATTGCACAGCACCCTGAATATACAGTGGGGGTCTCGAGATGCGGACATAATTGGTGCTTGGACCTTGTCCTTATATAAATCCTGCATCATGATTTCTGCATAGACTTACATGAGAATATATTTAGTTGGCTCTCCTGTTCATCAAAAATTAGAAAAAATGCCAAAATATTGGAATACAATTATTTCTTTCAATTCAAGATACAGAACAGTAACTGTGTAATAAATTTAAAATGCATTAAGTCTGATCTTCTGGCATCAGAAAGAGCGCAAGAATCAAAGAACACAGATAATAATTGTTATATTGTGCCCAGATTGTGGTGAAATTGGAAGGTAAGAAAAGTTGAGTTTACAAGAAATAAAAGGGTACACAAGGTCAGCCGGGTTGCGGCCGGGGTTTTTACACCCAGAAGAAGATATGTATATGCTCAGATTCAAATATACAACTTTTGATTCAAAATGTACATCTTTCCATTCAAAATATACAACTTTTGGACTTTGGACTTGATTTCAAGTTTTGACTTGGAGTTTCTTGAGTTTTGCGTCTAGACGGAGTCAGATGCAGAATGTGTTTCTTCTTG